TTATGTTTGTTATTGAGCAAGAAAATTGCAACTATTAAAAAGCAGTTTTTAACATTTTTTGATTCATTGGCCCCAAATCATGCTGACAGCATCTCTTTCCAGATCAAATAAACATGTATTCCAATAAAAGGAGACACTGATCTTTGCTATTTGCTACGTATTTCTGGCCATGCAGTGCCTTTGGTTAAGGTTTTGTGTGTTTGCTAATCACACAGACCTTGGGGAAGTAACAAATTGTTTCCCAAATGCTGCTGATTTTTTGTCAAGCTTCTGAAAATGGCTTCTCACCAAACAAGTCACAACAGCAAAAGGTTGAATCTGCACCTGTGTGGTTAATAAGACTTTTAAAAAAATATCCTAATCTTCCCAATTATGATATAATTTAGTAAGTGATGACATCAATTTTAAAATATCTCCAATGAAGTGTTTCAGTATAAATGACCAGGGATTCAGAATGGGCTTCACAGAGGACACAAACCTTTGGAAGTATTTGGTGTTAATCAGGTTCTGAAAGGGGTATTTGGTCACCTAGCAGTCCCACCATCAGAAAAAGTGTGTGTCCTGCTTACAAAGAAATCAACTCATGTGGTTTGAAATCTGCTAAACCACTCTGCCCCTCTCCCCTAGGGGAATGCGTGCATGTACTTTTTGCACTGATGGTCAAACTGAGAACCCTTCCTTGATTATTGTTGATTCTAGCATTTTTTTTGAAGCTAGAGATTTATTGTTATTTTGTGGTTAATAAATCATCAAATTGGTTATGACACTATCCCACACTGTATACCACCATTCATTAGTACAGAAGTTTTTTGTTTTTTTCCAAGTTTTCAAACAAAGTTTATTAGCAAGAAAAGAAAGATAAAGGAGGAAGAAAGATTCGTGGCAGAAAGACCTGCCATGGGCAAGTTTTTCAAAGAAGAAAAACCATTAGTACAAAAGTTTTTAAAACCAGATTGGGACATAAGGCAGGAAGAGCAAAGATACATAACTACCATCCAACCATCTCCTGTAGTCATGTACACATTTTCCTCCTGGGGAAAGTGCCAGAACAACACATGGACTGGTGGGCAACCTGGCCTCTTGACCTTTTTTAAAAGCAAGCAATTTATAGAAGTAATGGAATTCAACTTGTGTTTCTGAATTCAAAACTTTCCCAAAGTGTAATTTACGTTTAAGAAAAACAAAAATCACAAAGATCTTTTTAAAAAAAAATTGTGCAAGAAGATGTGTATATCTTGGGGCACAAATCCCCCAGATCTGCCCAGTAGGCAGTAGAACCCATAGCTCGCCTCTTCCACCTCAGCAGTGGGGTGCAGGGCGGGGAGGGAGACAGCACCCTCTGCAGAATGGGAGAAAGTGATGCTGTCAAGCTGACAGCTGTTTCCTTATGACAGTTGTCCTCATGTGAAAATTATTCAGGCTGGGGAAGTAAAGCATAACAAGTACTGACTATGCTCTTGCATGTATATAAGTGTGAATATGTGTGTTCATGCGTGTGTTTGTGTCTGGACACATTTTCTACACCGTTTCTTAGTGAAAATGCTGTACAGATGTCCTTTCAGGCTCATTCCACTCCTAAAATGGTGTGATTCTAGATGTTTTTAAGAAGGTTTTTTTTTTTTTTTTAAGAAGAATGCTTTTTTTTCCTGGAAAAAAATTGTGATTCATGATACATGATGATACGTGATTCATAATACATACATAAGTGCATTATTCCAGTGTAGTTGACAGTTTAAGTGATCAATGCCAAAGACTTCTGATAGTGAATTTTTGTCCAGTGTGGGATATTTATAATGAAGTGGTGTCCACCGGGGGTGGTATGAAATGCAGGCATCTGCCTGTGGAGGGACAGTCAGCTGGGGTTCAGGGGACAGAACCACTGACCACTGGGTTCCTGGTCCTCAGCAGGCAAGTGGACTAGTCTTCAAATGTGTCCCCCTTTCTTGCCTCTTTCCTCCATTCTTGCTGTTTGAAATACAGTAAGCTTTTCCTGACGTCACTCTGTTGAAATTCTGCACATCTTCCATAATCCTTCTCCAGCTTAAATCTTTTCATGAATATGTACGTCTTTCATGAAGACTTCCTTTTCTTTTTTTTTTTTTTTTTTTTTTTTGAGTTGGAGTCTCACTCTGTCGCCCAGACTGGAGTGCAGTGGCCGCTCCCGGCCACCGCAGCCTCGACCTGCTGGGCTCCGGCAATCCTTCTGCCTCAGCCTTCCAAGTAGCCGGAATTACAGGCATGTGCTACCATGCCTGGCTAATTTTTTTATTTATTGTAGAGATGAGGTCTCGCTGCCCAGGCGGGTCTCGAACCCGCGGGCTCAGGCAATCCACTCACCTCAGCCTCCCAAAGGCGCGGGATTACAGGCTGAGCCACCGAGCCCGGCCAGAAGACTTCCTTTTCAAGTCATTTGCCCATTGTGTGTTGTCTTGTTGTTGAGTGTAGAATTCTGTACATACCCTGGATATGTCTTTTGTCACATATATGACTAGCAGATATCTTTTCCAATATATGACTTGTGTTTTTGCTTTCTTAATCCTGTCTTTTGAATCACAAATATCTTTAACTTTAATGAAATTCATTTATTCATTTTTTTCTTTCATTGCTTGTCCTTTTGGTGTTATCTAAAAATTCTTTGCCTAACCCAAGGTCACAAAGACTTTTTTGAATTTAATTTACTTTAAATTAGTGAAAAGATGATATATTTAAGAAATCTACAAGGTGAGGGGATTGCCTGAGCCCACAGGTTCAAGCACAGACTAGACCTCATCTCTACCATAAACCAAAAAATTAGCTGGGTGTGGTAGCACGTGTCTGTATTTCTGGTTACTTGGAAGACTGAGGTGGAAGGATCACCTGAGCCCTGCGGGTCGATGTTGGGGTGGCTGTGAGCATGTGACTGCACTCCAGCCTGGGTGACAGAGTGACTCCAACTAAAAAAAAAAAAAAAAAAAGAAAGAAAGAAAGAAATCTAGTCACTACTAAATGCAGGGCTCTTTACAAATAGCAATTCAAGCTGGGCTCGGTGGCTCAGCCTGTAACCCCGTGCCTTTGGGAGGCTGAGGTGAGTGGATTGCCTGAGCCGTGGGTTTGAGATCCGCCTGGGCAGCAAGACCTCATCTCTACAATAAATCAAAAAATCAGCTGGGCGTGGTAGCGCATGCCTGTAATTCTGGCTACTCGGAAGGCTGAGGCAGAAGGATTGCCGGAGCCCAGCAGGCGAGGCTGCGGTGGCCAGGACCGGCCACTGCACTCCAGTCTGGGTGACCGAGTGAGACTCCAACTCAAAAAAACAAAACAAAACAAAAAAATAGCAATTCAAACCATTTTACAGTTTTGTTGAGGTATAATTTACATGCCATACATTTTGTTTATTGATTTTTAGTACATTTATAAAGTTGTGCAAATATCACTAAATCTAGTTCTAGAACCTTTGCGTCTCCCCCCAAATTTCCCTCCCACACATTTGGAGTCAATCCTCAATCCCAACCCTTCAGCTTCTGCTAACAACAGTTCTGACTTCTGTTTCTATCAATTGGATTTTTCTGAGAATTCCATAAATGTGTCCTCTAGTATGTAGTCTTTGTATCCGGTTTAGTTTATTTAGTGTATCATTTTTGAGGTTCATCAATACTGTCACATATATCAGTAGCTCGATACTTCCAACACTGGATAGTATTCCATTGCTTGTATTAGATTACATTTTGTTGGTTTATATTACATTCTGTTTGTCCACTCACCAGTTGGTGAGTACTCTGATTGTTTCCAGTTTTTGGCTTATGAATAATGCTGCTATGAACATTCATATACCAATCTATGTATGAATCCATGTTTAATTTCTTAGGTAGGTTCTTGAGAGTGGATTCATGATTTAATTATTAATGAAGTTCATTTATTAATTTTTCCTTTCATTGCTAGTGCTGCTGGTGTCACATCTAAGAATTCTTTGCCTAACCCAAGGTCACAAAGATTTGTCCCCCCTACATTTTTTTCTAGAAGCTTCCTCATTTTCGCTGTTACGTTTAAGTCAATGATCCATTTAAAGTTAATTTTTGTATGTAGTTTAAGGTGAAGGTTGGAGTTCAGTGTTTGCACATTTGATAAATACTTGTCCTTAAGTTGTTTGTGGAAAAGAACAATCTTTTCCCACTAAATTGTCTTGACATCTTACATACATTATTTCATTAAACTCCTCTCCCAACCCCGTAAAGTGGCTGATTGTATCCCAATTTCATAGGTCAGTTTACAGACTCCTAGAGTTGAACAAACACACTCAAATCCCACAGCTAATACATGGCAGAACCAGGATAGGAGCTCTGGTGCTCTTGGCTACAGGACCTTCTTACTAAAATCTTATTAAAATGGAGAAACCATTTCCCAGCATGCTGTTTATATTGACATGTTGACCATAAGTTTCCTGAGATTATATAACACTTTGTCGCATCTTGCCTTCACAATCTTAGGACAGTTCTTGTTTATTTGAGGATCACATTAGGAAATCCTCAATTGACTTAAGCAGTCACATTTACACAAAAGGCAGTTACATCTCTATAAATGACTTATTGTCTTTGTTATGTCTATGCTTACCACTGACAAGCCTAGACTTTCACTTTAGAGAGACCATTTCAGTTAAGAGCAACTCACCCACTGCTAAACCCATTTATTCCATTTGAACAGGAACCATGGTAACCGAGAAGGTCTATCTTTGATTGTTAAGGAGCTTTCAGGTGACATCAAGTGGGAGTCAGGGAAAAATGTTCAGAAAGTGTTAGCAGCTCTTGACCTGGGAGTTGGAGGGCCTCCATCCCGGCTCTGCAGTACTTGTCAAGTGACTCTGAGCAAGTCCCAGGGTCTCCCTGTGCCACGATCTCCTTGTCTGCGGGGCAGAGGTTGGACCAGGTGACCATTACAGTGTCCCCCCATGGCAGGCTTTTGTTGAGGTATGACAACAGCACTTTGTACAGCTCTGATGACACACAGGTGGCTCCTCTTGTTTGTAGACTGCAGCAAGAACCAGTTTCACTGTGACACGGGCAAGTGCCTTAATGACAGCCTCGTGTGTGATGGCTATGATGACTGTGGGGATCTGAGTGACGAGCAGAACTGTGGTAAGTAGCGTGGTTTCCTGACAATTTTGATTTAAAATCACAGAGACTTGCAACCCAGAACTTGTGGTTAATTGTTAATGTGAGTAGCAGCTTCCATTACAAGATGGTGGTTTTCTCATTTTGTAGAAGGAGGATGTTTGCTCAGTACTAGCCTCGGTTGTCTTACGTGTAAATGTAATAATACTTCTTACATCAACAGTCCTGCTAAGAAAATATTAAAAAGTGGGATGGAAGATGGGGAAAGGTTGTTAATATGTTCATACATTTTTTGCTCCTCAAAAGTGTTCTGCTTCTCTGGTTCGAGTCAGTGTCTCATATTTAGACTCTGAGCTCTTGTATAAAACTTTGCAGATTGATGTCTTGTCTGTGCCTGATTCTCTTGCACCATGACACTCAAGTCCCCTCCTTACTAGATACCCAAACCTGCAGGGACGACTTGTGTGGTAGTTACACCTAGAGTTAGGATGACCCTTTTGTTCTATGCACAAATGCTGATAATATCTTTTAAAGAATGAGCCCGCCTTTGAGAGTGCCAAGTTCAATTCTGAATGCTGTCTTGGGAATTAAAATCAGCAAACTTCCTCTTGCTTGTTGACTTCGTTGGCTTTGGGATTAGTTTCGGAATGTTGAGGAGCTTATGACTGTGACACAGGAGCGTCTTCATGGGAACCACAGAGCAAGCTGGGATGAGGATGCTCCCAGACGAGGGAGGTGGGATGGCGTTCAGCATTGGGTAATGTGGAAAGGAAGGTTTGGGAAGCAGCAGGAGTGTGACCTGAAGAAAGTATGGGAGTCTGGAGTGTCAGAAGTAGCCTATGCAAGCTGAGAGGCTCGGTGGTTTCCAGGAGCACCGTCTAGTTGCCCCTTGTTGCATCCACAAAAATATTGGAAAATGTAAACATGTGTAAGCCATTCTACAGGTGGCTAGATAGATGGGGGTTATCTTTTTTCTTTTTTGCTAAGTTTATTTTTATTTTATTATTTATTTATTTGAGTTGGAGTCTTGCTCTGTTGCCCAGGCTGGAGTGCCATGGCATGCTTATAGCCACCGCAGCCTTGACCTGGTGGGCTCAGGTGATTCTTCCACCTCAACCTTCCAAGGAGCTGGAACTACAGGTGTGCGCTACCATGCCCAGCTAATTTTTGGATTTATTGTAGATACGTGGTCTCACCAACTTGCCCAAGCTGGTTTCAAACCCCTGAACTCAGGCAGTCATTTTATCTTGGTCTCCCAAACTGCTGGGATTATAGGCTTGAGCCACCACACCTGGCTATTTTATTTTTAACTGACACACAGTACTTGTACATATTTATGGGAGCACAGCATGATAGCTCAATACATGTATACGTTGTATAATGATCAAACAGGGTAATTAGCATATCCAATACTTCAAATATTTATTATTTCTTCATGCTAGGAACATTCAAAATTCTCGCTTTGGCCAGGTGTGGTGGCTCACACCTGTAATCCCAGCACTTTGGGAGACTGAGGCGGAAGGATCATTTGAAGCCAGGAGTTTTAGACTAGTCTGGGTAACATAGCGAGACCCTGTCTCTACAAAACATTTTTAAAAATTAGCGGAGCATGGTGGTGCACAGTTGCAGTCTCAGCTACTCAGGATACTGAGGCTGGAGGGTCCCTTGAACCCAGTAGTTTGAGGCTGAGGTGAGCTACGTTTGCATCATTGCACTCCAGCCTGGGTGACAGAGCAAAAATAAAGAGAAAAAAATCCTGTCTTTCAGCTACTGGAAATATACAATACATTATTAACTATGGTCACCCTCCAGGGCTGTAGAGCACAAAAAGTATTCCTCCTGTCTAGCTGTAATTTTGTATCCATCAACCAACCTCTCCCTGTCCCCACCCCCTTCCCATCCTCTAGTAACCACTATTCTAATCTCTGCTTCTACTTTTTCTGCTTCTGCACCCAAGTGAGAACATGTATTTATCTTTCTATGCATGAATTCTTTCACTTAGCATAGGGTCCTCCAGTCTCATCCATGTTGCTGCAAATGACAAGATTCCACCCTTTTTTATGGCTGAATAGTATTCCATTGCATACATAGACCACACTGCCTTCATTCATCTGCTGAAGCACACCTAGACTGATTCTATACCTTGGCTATTGTGCACAGCATGCTGCAATGAGCATGCAAGAACAGATATCTCTTTGATATGCTAAGTTCCTTTCCTTTCCATGTATGCCCAGTAGGGAGGTTGCTGGATCATATGGTAGTTCTATTTTTATCTTTTTTGAGGAACTGCCATACGGTTCTCCATAGCAGCTTTATTAATTTACATTCAGATACGTTATCTTCTGCGACTGACTGGTTTTGATACTAAGGGTGAGAGGGAATTGTAATTATGCACATCATCAAATTTACGGTTGCAAGAAGCCTTAGAGATCATCTTAATCCAACTCTTCCCTTTCCCAGTGAGATGTAACTGGGGAAATGTAGGGGGCAGGACTGAGTGAGTGTAACTTGGGAGCTGGGTAGCTTGGTGGAGAGGGTCCCGGTATAGTTAGTGTGTGAGAAAGAATGGTTTCCCTGGTCACCATGAGGGTGGGAGACTGGGAGGTATGTTTTGTCAGGATGTCTGTTGTCTCCATCTGATGGCAGGCACCATGATTCTTCTGGCTGGATGGTATTTCACGAGGTCCATGTATCACGTGTCTTCATCCATTCATCTGCTGATGCACACCTAGGCTGACTTCCCTGAGACCAGCTTCTCCCTGGTTCCCTGGCTTTAGCAGGATGAGCATGGGAGGCTCTTCTGGGTCCTGCCCAAGTAGCCCTTCTCCTGTGCTTTCCTTCTTTTCTCTATTCTGTGTCCTTCACATATTTTGCTTTACTGAGCCAAAATAGCCTTTAAGATGCCCAGAAGTCCATCTATGACAGTGGCATTGTTAACAGACTCACGATGCTCTCCCGTGATCGAATGTTTCATTCACAAATTCACACACACCCTTTAAAGGGCTGTTCAGAGTGTATCACCCCTCGTGGCAAAGCATCTTACAGATTCTGCACTTTGTGAGAGGAAGCTTATCACTTAGTTCCTGGTTTTGTTTTTCTTTTTTTTTTTTCATGAATATATAAATTGAGACAAAGCCTAATTCCAGGCTGAAAAGAATCATGAAAATAATATAAATATCGTGCATTTCTTACCCAGCAGATTTTTTCAAATATGAGGAATATATTAAGATAGTTCAACAAAAAACTGGAGCTTAGCACTGGAAAGAAAACTTAAGAAGATACTTGCCTTCCCAACTTACCAGTGAGAATTCTAGTTCTTAGAAACATGAGACAGCTATCACAAATATGTCAAGACAGTGATCTCCACTGTGGAACTTAGTCACAGTTCTGTGTATTTGGGTCAGTGCAGAAATAATATATTCTCCATAAAGAAAGAAAATAAAGAAAAAGAAAACAAAAGACAATAAAATTAGCTGGGTATGGTGGTGTGCTCCTGCAGTCCTAGATATATGGGAGGCTGAGGAAGAAGGATTGCCTGAGTCCAGGAGTTTGAGACCAGCATGGGCAACATAAGGAGTTCTCTTCTCTACAAAAAATTTTTAAAAATTAGCTAGATGTGGTGACATGTTCCTGTAGTCTCAACTACTCAAGAGGCAGAGATGAGAGGACGGCCTGAGCCCAGGAGGTCAGGGCTGAGGTAGCTGTGATGGTGTGCCACTGCATTCCAACCTGGGTAACAAAGGGAGACCCCCACTCACAAAAAAAAGAAAAGAAAAGACAACAGTAAAAGTAAATTACCAGCCCTAGCATAGCTGTATGCAACTGTTATTCATCTGAAAAACAGATGTGTCCCACTCTGCAGTGACAGCGGTCAATGGAGCACAGTGGGAGGTGGCTTTTTATTTTATTTTATTTTTGCATCAGAGTTTCACTCTGTCACTCAGGTATGCAATAGCATGCTCACAGTCACTGAAGCCTTGACCTTCTGGGCTCAGGTGATCCTTCCGCCTCAGTCTCCCAAGTAGCTGGAACCACAGATGCACAACACCACATCTGGCTAATTTTTTGATTATTGAAGAGATGAAGCTTTGCCAAGTTGCCCAGGCTAGTCTCAAACTGCTAGGCTCAGGCAATCCCTATGCCTCGGCCTCCCAATGTGCTGGGATTACAGGTGTGAGCACTGTAAGGGGAGGGGGTGGCATTTTAATTGTGCCAGACCCAGCATGGAAACCTTCCTGAAGGTACTGGAATGGTCAGAACAGCCCGTCTCCCATGGGAGCTCTGACCACACAGTCTATGCTGCCTGCTGCTTTTCTGGGCCCCCATGAGTCTTTGCTCATCCCCCACCCCCAGATTGCAACCCCACGAGGGAGCACCGCTGTGGGGATGGGCGCTGCATCGCCATGGAGTGGGTGTGTGACGGTGACCACGACTGTGTGGACAAGTCCGACGAGGCCAACTGCTGTGAGTACCCCAGGACGTGTGTGCTGTGGGTCTCTCCATCTTGCCCATGTGGTATCAAGGCTGCCCTCAAGGTTCACCATTGGATCCGTAGTCAAGGACAGGGTTCTTACATGGGGGTTGGGCCTGTCAAGACATCCAGCATGTGATGACCCCAGCCCCACGGGATTCTGGCTTCCATACCTTCCTCCCCACAACTCCAAGTTGAACTTGACTGGTTGGACAAGCAGAACACACAACTGTGTTTTCTCTTCTTGCTCCCTACATCTCCTCATGCTTCTGGGACGTTGTCAAAGGTGATGCTCTTAGCTGAACTGGGGACCCTTCTTCTACAAACGCTAGATGAGCAGCCAAGCATTCTGCAGGAGTTTCCAGCTGTGTTTGTTGAGGCCATCTCCAGAGAGGAAGGAGCCCTTTGTGTTCACACAGCTACACAGAGAGAGTGTGATAACAATCCAGCTATGTAGTCTCTTGTGTTTCTGGGTGAAAGCAAATCTTCAGGTGGTTGTTTAATAGCGAATAACAATATAGACAATTATTAAGTCTCTTTCCCCCTTGGAAAGTCCACTCTACACAGTAGGGGATAATACAGATGTTAGAATAGAACCAGGTATGTGTTAAAAGAAAGTCCAATTGACTTAAAAAAGTTGATGTTATGTATTTTTATGCATATTTGAAGAAATTAAACTTGTGGGGGTTTTTTTGTTTGTTTTTTGTTTTTTGAGTCAGGATCTTACTCTGTTTCCCAGGCTGGAACACAGTTTCATGATCGCTACTCATGGCAGTCTCAAATTCTTGGGCATAGGCAAGTAGCTGGGACTACAGGCACATGCCACCATGCCTCTTTTTTTTTTTTTTTTTTTTTTTGTAGAGATGGGATCTCACGAGGTTACCCAAACTTCTGGGCTCAGGCAATCTTCCTGCCTCAACCTCTCAAAGTACTGGGATTACAAGCTCGAGCCACCACACCCAGCTTGTGACTTAAACTTTTTTTTTTTTTGAGTTGAAGTCTCACTCTGGAGACTCCAGACTCCAGGCTGGAGTGCAGTGGCACACTCCTGGTCACCACAGCCTCTACCTGCTAGGCTCCGGCGATCCTTCTGCCTCAACCTTCCAAGTAGCTGGAAATACAGGTGGGCGCTACCACACCCAGCTGATTTTTTTAATTAATTGTAGCGATGAGGTCTCACCAAGTTGCCCAGGTGGGTCTCGAACCTGTGGACTTGGGCAATTCACTCACCTCGGCCTCCCAAAGCGTGGGATTACAGGCTGAGCCACCGAGCCCGACCGATTTAAACTTTTTATTTTGTCTTTTTCTGCCTAATAAAAGCAGAAAAAGCAGATTTTTATGAGATTAAATCTTTAATCGGCTTATAATTTGAGACAAACATAGAAATGTGGCTGACACAGTTTCTATTTTGACATAAGTAAAGTCCTATAAAAAGTCACAGTGTCTCCCCTTCCCTATGTGGATTTGAAGTGGAATGTCACCCAAATTCCTGCTTAGTAGACACGATGGGACACAAAGGACTATATCTCCATAGATCTTGGGGAAGCAAGGATGTGACACTCAGGTCTATCGCTTTGGGTGTCTAGCTTCAATTCAAGAATGGAGGTCTTAATGTTAGATAGTAACTCAGTAGGACTGAGGTCATGTGAAACATGGGTTCTGATGCTCTCAAAGACCATAGGTGCGGAACATGGAAAACCTGTGGGAATCAGAAGGTTGATGGATACTAGGCACCCCTTTCAAATATCAGATGCCATAAACAAGTCCTAAAATGAAGTGTATTGTGTGTTAGGTGCCATGTGAGCCTTTTCCCACGTAGTATTATTACTACTATTATTATTCTTATTATAGATAGGATCTTGATCTGTCAGCCAGGCTGGAGTGCAGTGGCAAAATCATAGCTCACGGTGTACCTTTGAACTCCTGGGTTCAAGCAATCCTCCTGCCTTAGCCTCTTGAGTAACTGGAACTACAGGCATGTGCCACCACACCTGGCTACTTATTCATTTGTTTATTTATTGTAGAGACAAGGTCTCATTATGTTGCTCAGGCTTACCTCAAACTCCTGGCCTCAAGTGAGCCTTCCTCCTCAGTCTTCCAAAGTGCTGGGATTACAGGCATGAGCCACCATGCCCGGTCCACATATATTATTTTATTGGCTCATTAGGTCAGGTAGATGTAGACTGAGGTATTTGGGCTTGGAGTAAGAAAAGCTTGCCTTCACTTTCTGGCCCTGCCTTGTAATAACCATATGACTTTGAGACAGGCACTAAATGCTCTCAACTTCAGTTTCCTCATCTGTTCAATGAGGGTAATCCCATCTACTTTGCAAGACTTTTCTGAGAACTTGAGATTATATACACAATGTACCAAGCACAGCACTTGCCATGTACTAAGCCCTTTATGAATTGCAGTTTTTATTCCTAGTAGAATCACTACTGCCCTCATTAAAAACAATCACACGGCTCTCAAGAAAGAGTTAATTTTTAGTAAGTGCTGTCTAATAAGGCAGGGAACATTTTAGAAAGAAAAGTTTCTGTTTCAAAAATGCTCAGAATTTAAAAAATTAATGCTACCTCTAGCTGTGTGTGTAGATTGCCTTATTTCTTTGTGGTGCCCTGTAAATGGTGTCATTGAGGAGATGGGCAGATGGAAGGAAGGATGAATTAATACAGTGACTCTTGTTCTGGTCTCTCCCAGCCTGTAACAGCCAGGGCCTGGTGGAGTGCAGGAATGGACAGTGTATCCCCAGCACCTTTCAGTGTGATGGCGATGAGGACTGCAAGGATGGGAGCGATGAGGAGAACTGCAGTGGCAGTGAGTGTGTCCTGTTGCTTCTGGAACATTACTTTATGGGTGCACCTTTCTTTGGGACCCAAGCAACACGCTTGAAGTTACCCAGTGCTTAAGTGGGATTCCCACATAAATAATTCCAGATTGTCTGACACAATGGGCTTTGCCCCTGGCAGCCACAAAACCCTTTCTTGTGGTGATTATAATTCTCAAGCCATGTATGTTGAAAAGTCCCTCCTCAGGGTGGGGGGTGGAAGTGAGACACTCAGACAGCATGGTCAGATTTTGTTAATTGTTTTATGGGAAAACCATGATAGTGTGTTGTGTGTACCATCCAATTACACGAGGTTAGAGTCCAATGAGAAGGAGTTGGCCTCTGAAGTTAAAAGTAACAGCTTCCTAGAAAAAGTGTGTTCAGAGGAACGATTGCTTGGTCACATGATCAGGCAATGCCCTTGATAGGGAGTCTTACGTCTGTGTGTGAATCACAAAAAGAAAAACTAAATCAAATAAGTTTTTTTTTATTGAGTTAAGGTCTTACTCTGTCATCGAGGCTGGAGTGCAGTGGCATGATCATGGCTCACTATAGCCTCAGTCTCCTAGGATCAGGCAATCCTTCTGCCTCAGCCTTCCAAGTAGCTGGGACTACAGGCACCCGTCACATTGCCTGGCTATTTTTAAAACATTTTTTTGTCGAGTCGAGTTCTCACTATGTTGCCTAGGTTGGTCTTGAACTCCCAGCCTCAAGCAGTCCTCCTGCCTTGGCCTCTCAGATTGCTGGGATGACAGGCATGGACCACTGTGCCCAGCTAAGTTGGTTTTCAAATGTGACTATTTCTGTCAGAAAAGAAAGTTCTACACACTGTTGGAAGCTATGGTTTGCATGGAATGAACTTGATAAGAATATCTCTAGACCTGAAAACCCTATCTGTGTATCTTATGTAGGCACAATCAGCTGCCTGGGCTTGAGCCCTGGTCTAATGCTTCCTGTCTGGTGACTTCTGGCAGGTCACATAGTGCCTCTGTGTTTCAGTTTGCGTCTGTAAATTCAAAATAATAACGATTTCATAAGGCTGGCACATGATAATAACTCCATAAATGGTAACTTTTAGTACATGGTCATGGTATCAAAGCATTTCTTGGGTTATGCCTTTTCATAATCAACCCATGAAATTATGGTCACCTGTAGAGAAATTAGTTGTGTTATAATGAATTTTGATCATTAGGATAACTTTAATGGAAAAGCACTCAAGACCTAAAGGGAGAAGTTTCTGTTTTCTGTTTTTTTTGTTGTCATTCTTTTCATACACAGTCTCACTCTGTTGCCCAGGCTGAAGTACACTGGTGTGTTCATAGCTCACTGCAGCCTCAAGCTCCTAGAATCAAGCGATCCTCCCGCCTCAGCCTCCTGAGTAGCTAGGACTACCAGTGTGAACCATCACACTCAGCTAATTTTTAAAAATATTTGGTAGAAACAGGCTTTCACTATGTTGCTCAAGCTGGTCTTAAATTCCTGGGCTCAAGAGTCTCCTGCCTTAGCCTCCCAAGGTGCTGGGATTACAGGCATGAGCCACTGTACCCAGCCTACATAAAAATAATCTATAAAGTACTTTGCTTCATTAATTTTTAAATTCAGGAAGAAATTCTTTATGAGGCATGGAGTATCATGTCCAAATGAGCCAAGCACTTCCCTTTGGGTCAAATTGTTCTTCCTTTCTAAATAATTCATCTAGAAAATAATTGTGGGTTCTTCACAACGAAATGGCTGGCCTGGTAGAGTGTGAGATGTAAGAAAGTCATATGATAAAATGAATCAAAGCGTAAAATGTTTGTGTCTTTCTTTATATCATTTACTCTAGTGAATTCAACTTGAAAAGTGTATATTGTGGTGCTAATATGTGGTCATCTGCTGGGAATTAAGTGGCAAGAAAAACAGCTGGTGGAGCTGTCAAGCACCCATGGGGAGAGGCATGCTACAATAATTATGCAAGTCCACGTCAAGCCACAGGGTGACACGGGCCATGAAGGGACATTGAGGATGCTCTGTGTCATTGTGTTGAAGTTGCCTCAGACAAAGCATCCTGCAGGAAAAGATATCAGAGTCCAGAGCTGAGAGAGGGGTGACATTCACAAAGAACAGACTTGAAGAAGTGACCAAGACACAGGATGTGGCTTGGGCCAGAAGTCCTGAGGTTGTGAGGGGTGGGGAGCAGGGTGCAGGGCATGTTGGGAACCACAGAGGAGGTCACTGTGATGGGAGAGCCGAGGGTGATGGAGCCGAGAACTCCAGCCACGTGTCTCAGTGTGGCTGTGGGCTTGCTCTGCTGGACAGGGCTGGAAGGGAGGCAGGGCCCGCACCTCACCAGGCTTGGGACCCTGCTGGAGACGCAGGCCTTTGCAGGCCTTCGGGCTCTGTTCCTGCCCGCCTGACCTTCCTCACCCCCTTCTCGGGGTTGGAGCTCCAGTGACATTGACTGTGCTCTTTCTGCCAGGCCTCTGTGTGTGCTGATTATTGGCTTTTACTGCAACTCACCCCTGTGCCTGGAAAATTATGCAAGTCTGGACTTGAAGTCTGGACTTCAAGTCCTCGAAGCTTCTTCATAAGGCCACGCCCACTTCCACTGCTCTTTATTTTTTTACTTTTTTATGTGCATTCTGATTTTAATAGAACCTGATGATTTTTTTCTAGTGTATCTGCACTTTAACAGTTATAATAGTTCCTCTTCCCCCAATAGATTATTATTATAAAAAATTATATTTTCAAAATTTTCATAAGCTGCTTATTCAAATATATGAGATGGAAATTAAATCTGATTTTTAACGAATGAAGAAAAATACAAGTTCTTATATTTGTTATCTAAATGTGTCCCCCTTAAAACAATGATCACACAGCATCAGGAAGTTTTGTTCATGACACGCCCTATCAGAGTACAAGCCATGTCTCAGGGGTATTGTGTCCTTTTTCTCTTAATGCTCAGTGCCTCATTTTCATAAGCTTGTTGCACAGCAGGCACTTAATGCTTACTGAAATAATGAATGCATGATGTCAGTGCGATTTCCCCAAGAGCCTAAACTCATGGAAATTATTTAGTCTTGCCTTGAGGGAAAAAAAAAAAAAAAAAGAACCCTGCTGACATTAAAAAAAAAAAGAAAAAAAAGAGTGACATCTTGATATCTTTTTTTCTGCAAGGTTGTGACTTAGTATGTCGTGCATTAGTAGAACTGGTAAGGGGAAAGACTCTAGTATAATAAACATTGTCTTAGAATAATAGATAAGAACGATGGCATAGGCACACATACTATTATGTAGACTTGAAAGTGCCTTGCAAGATTGTCTAAATTCCAGTTGACATATCTGAAAGTAATTGACCATCATGGGGGAGAGAGAGAAAGAAACCAGGCAGGCATTCATGACCTTATTCATTTAATCTACAAATGACCAGGAAGTCCACAGGGAAAGCTGTATCCTTTCTAGAGACCTTAAGGAAAAGGCATTAAGGCAAAGGCTGGTGTTACTGTCATTCACTTGGAAACAGGATACCGGGTTCCCAAGTCATCACAGGTAGGCTGACAGTCCTTCACAAAGATACACTGAAAATGTGGATAACAGCTGCCTCAGACTTTTGTTATGACACAGTGACCTTACTGAATTGGTGCCGGCGCCTTATTTATTATTAGGAAAAGCATTTTTATTGGAAGGAAGACAGAGCTTGGAGAAAAAGAGTCTTTAAAATAATGTCATTTCATATTTAGTACTTCAAGATCTTTATATTTGTCTCTCTCACTCAAATCACTTGAATTTTGTTTTATAATCAACTGCAGGCACCCATGTAAAAACAAATTAAAAGCACAATTTTTTTTTCCCATTAAAAGCAAAAACCACCTGTGTTTTAGCGTAGCATCTCTTATTTCTTCATTCCTGTTTTGGAATACCTGGAGTGTAGTTAGTTGCCAGGAAAATTAATCCAGAAAGCACCTACTCAACATGTGTTTGATATTTTTGGAGAAATTGGAAGGAAATGAAAGTTGTGTCATTCCTCAGCCCACCAGACATTCCTGTTCCTTTAGATCCTAGCATGTGGAATTTGCAGATAATAAAAGCCAATGTGCCTTCCCCTCTCTGTAGGTCAAACTCCGTGTCAAGAAGGAGACCAGAGATGTGTCTATAGTTCCTGCCTCGACTCCTGTGGTGGCAGCTCTCTCTGTGACCCCAGCAACAGTCTGAACAACTGTAGTAAGTACAACAACTGACAAACACCATCACTGGGTCAGGACACCATTCAGCATTTTTCTTCTGTGTTGACGTTCAAATACCAAATTCTGGAAACTCTCCAGAAAAGTACACCTATTTTCTTTTCCTTTTTAAAAAGTTGCACGTGGTAGCAGAAGAGAAATAAAACGGTCTTAATTAACTTAAATCAGAAACAAATGTGTCATTGTGAGTAGACTATAAATCCACATGGCTTAATATCACTGCCGTCGCATTCAACTCAACATCAGCTCCTATATATTATTTTCTTGGCTCCATCTTTAGGCAGATGCTATCTTTCTTCCTCTTTAAAACACGCCTTTAAAAATGGAAACTTTATCCAAGAAGCAAATAGGAGTTTCATAGAAGAAATAGCCACATGAAACACTGGCGGTCTGTTCTTTTGACACAATGTATTCTCACCTTTTGGAACTTAATGACCTATCATGATTTTGGAGCCAGGTGTGCTCATTTGTTTCAGTGACATACAGTGTCAGCAAGTGGCCCAAAAATGGCTTTCAGGAGGAGGAGTTGTTTGGGGAAGACAGACTGGGCAGTCGTGAAAGAGCACTGAGTGGACTCATGGGATACTTAGAACAAGCCATGAGTTTCTCCAGGGCCTGATTTCCAGAAATGGTTTCTTACTCCCAGTCTCTGTTTGGAGGTTACGATCACTTGGTTTACTTTTTCTAATCAACTTGTGGCCTCACCTTCAGCTTGGGACGTGAAATTTCAAAACGGGCCAGTCAGTTGTCAATTGGCAGGAAGGTTACCTCTTTCTTCTTTTTCTTTATTTCAGTAGCTTTGAGGGGCACAAAGAGCTTTTGGTTACGTGGTTGCAGTGTATAGTGGTAAAGAAGTCTGGACTTCAAGTGTACCCACCACTCCCACCTGTACATATTGTACTCCACTGGTGATTTTTTTATCCCTCTACCCCTTCCCCACCCTTCTGAGTCTCCAGGGTCCGTGATACCTTTCTCTATGTCTTTGCAGACTCTTAGTTTAGCTCCCACTTTTAAGCAAGAACATGCAGTGCTTGGTTTTCTGTTTCTGAGTTAGTTCACTTAGGATGATGTCCTCCAACTGCATCCAAGTTGCTGCAAAAGATGTGATTTCATCCTTTGTGACAGCTGACTAGTATTCCATGGTGTATATAGACCACCGTTTCGTTATTCATAGATGGGTTGATGGGCATTTAGGTTGATTCCATATCTTTGCAATTGTGAACTGTACAGCCATGAACCTGAAGGTAAACGTGTCTTTTTCATGCAACAACCTCTGTTCCTTAGGGTAGATACCTAATAGTGAGATTGCCAGATCACATGGTAGACCCACTTTTAGTTCTTGACACATGTGCTCTCACAAGTATGGGCTGAAGGCCTCGAAAGCTGGGAAGGGGTGGATGGATAGTGAAGACTCAGGTCCTTGCTTTGGCTGAGGATTTCAGGTCTTGGTTTTGCCTGGGAACCTTCCTGGGTCAGTACAGTGCTGCTGGGGAGTGCCCTGTAACTCTTAGGGACTCTAAGGAGGGGTGGAAGAAGCGAGGTCTCAGAAGGAAGCATATTAGACACCCAGACTGACAAGACTTTTGATTCTTGGCTCTTAATGACTGTTTGGCTGGAAGGACAATAAACAGCCCACCTCTGTCTCCCATGAGAGAACAGTAGACGTTACTCTGGCCATGAAGGAGACGCTCAGACTGTCATCTTACTTCTAGACCGATTTGAATCTCTCTATACATATTTATACCTACATATGGATGCATACACTTTTCAGGCATTGCTTCCATTGTTTCAGTTTGCTCATCTCTCAGTCTGCTGAGGAACTTTTCCAGCACAATTTTCTTACTTCATCTTCAATCTAAATAGTGACAGTGTCGTCTCAGGGACACGTGTTTATTATTAAAGTTTTAAGGGTTGTTTTGACCTAGGAGGGCACTTACTTCGAGACTCAAAAAAGTAGAAAGAGCAGTGTTAGCCTGTGTCAAATTTGGGTGGGAGTAACTGGGTGCATGTTATACTTTGAAATATTTCAAAGTAAAAAAAAAAATTTTTTTTTGAGTCAAGATCTTGCTTTACTACCCAGCTGGAGTGCAGTGGCATGATCACAGCTCATTGCATTCTTGACCTCCCAGGCTTAGACAGTCTTTCAGCCTCCCGAGTAGCTAGGACTACAGATGCATGCCACCACATCTGGCTAGTGTTTTCTTTTTTTGGAGAGATGGGATCTCACTATGTGTCCAGGCTAGTCTTGAACTCCTGGGCTCCAGCAATTCTTCTGCCCTGGTCTTTCAAAGTGCTGGGATTATAGACATGAGCCACAGCGTCTGGCCCAAAATTTTAAAATATATGTTGTCACCTGTCCCCCCTCCAAAAAAAAACCGTGGTAAAGGCAACTGGATAACCCTGGCTCATAGGGTCAACCAATCTTAAAGGTATTTTCAATGTTTCTGGCACAGTCGCGGGACCTGGCTTTCTACTGGTAAAGAAGGGAGGGCGTACTCAGCTTCCTGGAGAGCCCTTTTCAGTATGGAAAGAGACACTGCTGTCTTCCCATGCATATACACAACACTGGTATTCTCTTTGTGTTCTTTACATAATCCTGGTTTCCCTAGAGTCTCATCAGTTTCCTCATTCATCATGTATACTCTTGCTAAATTCTCCCTATACCAGAGGTTTCCAACTCCCATGTCATGGACTGGTACCAGTCTGTGGCCTGTTAAGAACCAGGCCATACAGCAGGAAGTGATTGGCAGGTGAGTGAGTGAAGCTTTATCTGTATTTACAGCTACTCTCCATCACTCCCATTACTGCCTGAGTTCTGCATTTTGTCAGATCAGTGGCAGCATTAGATTCTCATAGGATTCCAAACCCTACTGTGAACTATGCATGCAAGGGATCTAGGTTGTACACTCCTTATGGTAGTCTAATGCCTGATGGTCTGAGGTGGAGCTCAGGTGGTGATTCAAGCACTATTTCCCATCACCCCCCAATGGGACTGTCTAGTTGCAGGAAAGCAAGCTCAGGCCTCCCATAGATTCTGCATGATGGTGAATTATCTAATTATCTATTACAATAATATAATATATAAGAATAGAAATAAAGTGCACAATAAATGTTATGTGCTTGAATCATCCCAAAACCATCTCCCCCCCAACTCCCTCCCACCCCAGATCCATGGAAAGATTGTCTTCCACGAAACCCATCTCTAATGCAAAAAGATTGGGGACCACTGTTCTATATTCTTCAATAAACTTTCGAATATGACATCCTCTTCTCAGTGCCAGGCCTAGGATAGGCCCCCGCCCCTCATTCCTTCTGTGTTATCAAGAAGAATTTATGTGCCTCAGGTCCAGCTGAAGGTCCATGTGTCATTCCTGATCTTTCAAGAAACTGCTGGAAGGGATATGTGTGTATGGTTCTCTCTAAAGGTGAGCAAGGAGCATCTCCACAAAGAAAGCTCTTCATCTGCTTGAAAACATGATTGCTTGTACGAAGATGCTCACCGCTAGCAGAGACTGTTATTCCTGGGCTTCTGAGGCACCACTGAGGCACGCTGTTATTCTGGCTCAATGCCAGTGGAGACCATGAATATGGAGAGTGTAGATATCATGTCTGGTGGAGTTGCTGGGACTCTCATTCTTGAAGACACTGGTTCTTCCCATCCATGGAATATTATGCAACTTCCTAATAGTCTGAAGATATCCTGGGTAGGACCCAGTCATCAGGGTTTTTAAGTTCCCTGGATGACTCCAGTGGGTAGCCAGGGCTGAGAATCACTGCTCTGATGGCCTGTTCATGAACAGGCTGCAGGGGTGGGGGCACCTCTGAAGAAGAAGATGTTTTCACATTCCTGTGTGTACTTTTCAATGGAGAGGGCTTGTTGCAAAGTCTCAGAAGTGCCTACATTGGTTGTTATTGTTGTTGCTTTTTTGAGTTGGAGTCTCACTCCGTCGCCCAGGCTGGAGTGCAGTGGCACACGCATGGTCACCCCAATGTTGATCGGCTGGGCTCTGGCAATCTTTCCACCTCAGTCTTCCAAGTAGCCAGAACTACAGGCATGTGCTACCATGCCTGACTAATTTTTGATTTATTGTAGAGGTGAGGTCTTGCCAAGTTGCCCAGGCTGATCTTGAACCTGTGGGCTCAGGCAATTCACTCGCCTCAGCCTTCTAAAGTGCTGGGATTACAGGCTGAGCCACCAAGCTTGGCCTACATTGTTTTAAAAGCCTAAAACCCATATCTCTGATGATATGTGGAGTTTTCAAGGAACAGCGTTTGGCAGCCGGTGTTACCACAGTCAGGCTTTGTGCAACTGGGAGGCAAAACACAGCTCCATGCTTGCCTTAGGGGCAGGAGCAAGGGTGCTAGTGTCCCTGTCCTTGGTGTGAAGGGAAGAGAGTCCATCCTTTCCCATGCAGACAGCTGGGTACTGCAGGAGCAACTTCAGGATGTGTGTCTCAAGGCTCCTCCTTTGTCCCCCACAGCCATGGAAGGCAAGCTTGATGATCAAGCCCACATGGCTGCCATGTCTCAGGCCCTGCTTGAGTCTCCCCTGGCTCTCACCATCCTTTAGTTCTATGTGTTTAATACTGCAGTTCCACCCCCCCCCACCTTGTAAGGCCAACCCCAAGGAATAAGTGACCAGGTTTGCTTTCTGCATCATTTCTTGCTGAGTTATCAATTTCCTGTCCCCTCAGCAAGTCCCGGTTGAATGGGACAAATGATGTAGGAGTGTGGCAGAGAAGCCAACAACATAACAGTTAGGGGCTTCAATCCTTGGAAGCAAATAGTAGAGTTTTTTGTTTTTTTTTTTTGAGTTGGGGTCTCACTCTGTTGCCCAGGCTGGAGTGCAGTGGTACAATCAAGGCTCATCACTGCTTTGACCTTCTGGGCTTAGGTGATCCTTCCACCTCAGCCTCCTGAGTAACTAGGACTACAGACACATGCCACTATGCCCAGCTATTTTTTTAAATTTAGTTTTTGTAGAGACAGGGTCTGGCTATGTTGCCCAGGCTTCTCTTGAACGCCTGAGCTCAAGCAATTTTCCTGCCTTGGCCTCCCAAAGTGCTGGGATTACAGATGTGAGCCACCCCACCTAGCCTAGGAATGATCTCTTTATACAAGCATTTCCAATTAATAAGTGAAAAGCAAGTGATTGAATCTAAATATGGTCATTTGGTAACACCAGGAGTTCATGGGTCAAGGCACAGAGTATCTGCAGCTGCTGACATCACAAAAAGAGATGAACCAGTCATGATGTGGCTTCTGATGCAAGAACCCTGATTTCCTCTAGTCCTGCCAGCAGGAGGAAGCCCATCAGTCCTCTAACTCCAGTCACTGAGGTTCAGGAAGAGAGCGAACAGGGAATGCATTTAATGTCACCCAGAGTGTGCAGACAGCAAAGTCCAAACTACACTGCACCCTACAGGTCAAGTCCCCAGGTTCTTCAACAGTTAAATTATTATTATTATTTTTAATGGAGAGGGAATCCAGAGGCTGTAAGAGATTTTACAGACACATTTCAAAAAATGGGCAAGGCCAAACTATCTAGTGAGTGGTACACACTTAGGTGATAACACTATACGGAAGAGCAAGAAATAGGATTATACAAACTCATCAGTGACTCTTCAGGGAAAGGAGAAGGCTGAGATAAGACAGGAATGTGAAGGAATTTCTGGGGTGTCTGACCTGGGTGATAGCTAGAAGGGTGTTTGCCTTCTAATAACTCATCAAGCTCTTAAAAGTAATGTTAAGGAGAGAGTTAGAGTTTGGGGTAAGGACAGATCTTTAAATATTATGCATGCAGCTGGATATGGAAAAGTCATATTCTTCATGTAAATGGCCATCATCTAATACATGATTTCTAGTGACTTCAGAATATTGCATCATGACAAGGACACAACATCATTTAATTAACAATCTTATCTTTAGGTTGAATTGAGCATATATTGTTTCAGATTTTGAGGGGTAAAGTATCACTGAGACTCTATCAGGATGTTTATTTTTTGACAAATGGTTGTTAAGCCTCATCTATGTTCAGGACTATGCAGGGCACTGAATCAAACTTGACATAGGACAGGGATCCCCAAGTCCCGGACCACAGACCAGTACCAGTCCATGATCTGTTAGGAACCTGATCTCACAGTGGGAGGTGAGCGGCAGGCAAGCCAGAGAAGCTTCTGTATCTACAGCCGTTCCTCATCGCCTGCAATACTGTCTGAGCTCCGTCTCCTGTCAGATCAGCACTGAGAAACCCGCTTCCATTTCTAACATCCGATCTTTGTGAAGCAGGGTTTTCTGCAGTGACAGAAACCAAAACGAGATCACGGAGCAGACTGGACATAAGCAACATACTTTGGGTGTCTGTGTCTCCCATAACCTCCAGATGGGACTGTCTAGTTGCAGAAAAACAAGCTCAGGGCACCCATTGATTCTGCATGATGGTGAGTTGTATAATTACTTCTTTATATACTACAATGTAACAATAATAGGAATAAAGTGCACAATAAAAGCAGTGCGCTTGAATCATCCCCAAAACATATGCACCCTCTCATCCATCCATGGAAAAATTGTCTTCCATGCAACTGGTCTCTGATGCTCAAAAGGTTGGGGACCGTTGGCGTAGGAAACAGATGGGAGGCCTTGAAACCTTCTTGCATGTTCGTGATGTGGCCGCCCTCTAGTGGTTACTGTAAATCAGGACCATGTGCTTGTCCAATGCTTAAGATAAAAAAGCTTATTGATACCATAAATCATAGAATTTGGGGTTGGCAGGAATATTGAGAGTTTATCTTGCTTAGCACTCTGTGAAGAATGCCTTATGAAGGAATAAAACACAAAATCTTATCAACCTTACCACATTCAATAAATTTCTCCAGAATAATATACGGTCATTACTTAATCCTTTCATTTTCTTTGGCTCTGAAACACAATAAAAGTTATATCTTATTCCACATCAAAAGTGATACATTTTCCTATGTCAAGAGAGAGAAAAATTGTTCATATGATATGTTCTATGAGTCATCTAAATGAGACACACAAATAACATGTTAAACCTTGATGGAGTGGTTGAGGAAGAGAAAGAGAGGGGAGGTATGTAAAAGGGGGGAAAAAGACTGCACCAAAAATCTGTATGGATGATCCCATTTTTGTAAAACTGTATTAAAGAAATTAGAAGTGATGGGTACACTTAAAGCCCAGATCAACAACTATTTGTACCCCCTAAAGCTATTGAAATAAAGAAAAAAAACTCTTTATATTAAAAAAAGAAATTAGGAAAAAAGCCTAGTGTTAGAACTGTGTCCACTGACTCATCAGATGGTCATGACAGATAATTTAGCAAAAAGCGCACACTGAAATGTAATGGGAATCGTTGACTCTACTTTGGTCAAAGCAACACAGGTCTCTACCTAAGTGTGTGAATGCTTGCATATATAAATGTGGGCTAGAGAGGGGTGGAGAGGGACTCAAAGCCATCTGCTGGCTTGGAGGAAAGGTCAGAGAAAGGAGAGTGGAGATCAGATAAGCCTTTTCTTTCTGCAGTCCAGAACAAGTTTTATCCTAACCTGTTCACTTGCCCTGCAGCCGCCAGCATGTGTGTGTCTTTTTTCCTGTCAAGATTGTGACTTTTTAAAGCTGGGTGTTGGGTCCTCTGCCAGTAGCAATTTGTAAGAAAGGAATCTTAGTATGGCCAGGTGTGGTGGTTCATGACTATAATCCCAGCACTTTGGGAGTCCAAAGCAAGAGGATTGCCTGTGCTCAGGGGTTTGAGACCAGTCTGGGCAACATGGCAAGACCATGTTGGCAGGGACAATATTTCCCATTATTTTTACATTTGCGGCACCTGGGATCATTCCTGACACATTGTTCTTCCTCTTCTCCTCCTTTCATTCTGGTACTGTGCTCAGTACAGACTTGGAGATCAAGAGATAAAGTACTGGACAGGTGTAGTGGTGCACACCTGTAATGCCAGCACTTTAGGAGGCTGAGGCAGGAGGACCACTTGAGGCTGGGAGTTGGAGATCAGCCTGGGCAGCATAAGAAAATTTTTGTTTCTACAGAAATAAAAAAAACTTAGCCAGGCATGGTGGTGCATGCCTTTGCTCCCAGCTGCTTGGGAGACCAAGGCAGAAGGATCACCTGAGCCCAGGTGGTTGAGACTGTTATGAGCCATGATTCTGCCACTTCACTCTACCCTGGGCAACAGAGTGAGACTCCAACTGAAAAAGAAAGAAAGAAAGAGAAGGAGGTAAAAGAGGAACACAGTTCTCAAAAACGGCCACAGGTCACGAGTCTGACAAGCAGGCTGTGGCTGAAGTGTGAAATAGCCTCACATTCCAAGCTCAGGGGATTGGATTTTATCTCATTGGCAAGTAGGATTCAACAGATCTGAGCCTCTGCTTGCCCAGAACTCTTGTAGTCTTATATTTAAACCCATTGATCAACAATAAAACATAGAGGCAGAAGTTATCTAATTGCCTGCTAAATCAAATTCATTGTTTTTTTGTTTGTTTGTTTTGGGGGGTTTTTTTGAGTTGGAGTCATACTCATGGCCACCCCAACATCAACCTGCTGGGCTCTGGTTATCCTTCCGCCTCAGCCTTCCAAGTAGCCAGAACTACAGGTGTGCACTACCACGCCCAACTAAGTTTTGATTTATTGTAGAGACAAGGTCTCGCCAAGTTGCCCGAGCTGGTCTCGAACGCACTTGCTCAGGCAATCCACTTGCCTTGGCCACCCGAAGTGCTAGATTTACAGGCTGAGCCATTGAGCATGGCCTCATTGTATTTTAATGGCTGTGAAGGAGATGGAGGCTTTATACTATTTTAGTAGTAATGAATAAATCAGAAGAAAATGAGTTACATGAATAAAAGGAATGATAAAAGAAGGTCATCTTCAGATATTCTGGGCCAAGGGAAAGAATGGTAAGATACTTTCTAAAGTGGAATGTAAGTCCTCTGCCAGAAGCTACATGTAAGAAAGGAATCTTAGTTTTGGTGGGCACAGTGAATCACACCTATCATCCCAGCACTTTGGGAGACTAAAGTGAGAGGATTACCTGAGTCCAGAGGTTCAAGAACAGTCAGGACAACATGGTGAGACCCCATCTCTACAATAAATTAAAAAAATGAGGCAAGCATGGTGCACACCTGTGGCTCCAGATACTAGGAAGGCTGAGGCGGAAGGATCAACTGAGCCCAGTAAGTTGGGCTGCAGTGAGCCATGATTGTGCCACTGTACTCCAGCCTGGGCAACAGAGTGAGATCCTAACTCAAAAAAAAAAAAAAAAAAAAAAAGGAATCTTAGTTTGACAGGATGCTTCCCTAGCCAACCTATTATTTTTTGATATCCACATAAAACAGTTCTATATTAGTTGCATTCTAGTCTCAGCCACTCTTAAAAAAAAATAGTAAACCAGGTTTCAAGGTTGTAAAGCTGAAAGAAGTTGTTTTGACGTGTGAGATGTGAAACCATATGTTTTTCTGTGTGTCTTTGGTTAGGTCAGTGTGAACCAGTCACGCTTGAGCTCTGCCTGAATCTGCCCTACAACTACACGCGGTACCCAAATTTCCTTGGCCATGGGACTCAGAAGGAAGCCTCCATCAGCTGGGAGTCCTCCCTTTTCCCTGCACTCGTTCAGACCAACTGCTACAAGTACCTCATGTTCTTTGCCTGCACCATTTTGGTGCCAAAGTGTGACACGTCTACGGGCCAGCGCATCCCTCCTTGCAGGTAATATGATGGCGTCTCCCTCAAGCAGTCTCCTTTTTAGCCTTCAAGAGAACCCAGGGAATGACAACGTCATTGATTTTGGACAAAGCAAATTTTGCTAAGGAGCGCTGTATCTCACAAAGGATGCACTTGGAAGGTAAAGATGTGGATGTTGTAAAATGAATTTTTTTTTTTGAGTTGGAGTCTCACTCTGTAGCCCAGACTGGGGAGCAGTGGCCACTCCCAGCCACCGAAGCCTCTACCTGCTGGGCTCTGGTGATCCTTCCGCCTCAGCCTTCCAAGTAGCTGGAACTACAGGCATGCACTGCCACGCCCGGCTAATTTTTGATTTATTGTAGAGATGAGGTCTCACTAAGTTGCCCAGGTGGGTCTTGAACCCACGGGCTCAGGCAATCCACTCACCTCAGCCTCCCAAAGTGCTGGGATTACAGGCTGAGCCACCAAGCGCGGCTTAAAATGAATATTTGAAACTGAATTCATGACCCAAGGACCAGGCAAGAGAGATATGAACTGCCTTTAATGATAGTCTGTGTATTCTCTTTAAATAAAATCATATTAATTTTATTCTGGTAGGTCAAGATGCATATTTTTCAAAAAATATGAATCAGAGAAATATGCCTCTTTCTCTGGCAACACTGATGTGTTGAAAAGGCTGCATTCTCATAGCACCCAGAAGTCGGAGACATGGCCCTGGGGGATGGGACACCAGCTCACAGGTCAGACAGGGAGTGGCATCGCTGACATTTTTCTGCCTGTCTGAATGAAATAATACATGGTATTTTCAAGAGTGCAGCTTGGACCTTGGATAGGAGTGATGTCCCAGGGTCAAGAATACTGTTCCAAGTCCATGTTTGAGTTTGGGCGTTGGCCCTTCCGCAGCTGCGTAGCCTTAACCAAATTTCTGAGTCTCAACCTCAGTTACTTTACCTATAAGATACAAATAAAGGCAGGCTCAGTGGCTCAGCCTGTAATCCCAGCACTTTGGGAGGCTGAGACAAGTGGATTGCCTGAGCCCGTGGGTTTGAGAACCACCTGGGCAATTTGGCAAGACCTCGTCTCTACAATAAATCAAAAACTAGCTGGGCCTGGTAGCGCACACCTATAGTTTCAGCTACTTGGAAGGCTGAGGCAGAAGGATCGCCGGAGCCCAGCAGGTTGAGGCTGCGGTGGCCGGGAGAGTGCCACTGCCCTCCAGTCTGGGCGACAGAGTGAGACTCTAACTAAAAAAAAAAAAACAAAAAAACCACCAAAAAACAAACAAAAAAAACCCATGAATACAAATAAAACCAGTTAGTTTAACAGACAGTTCTTGAACACTATGAAATTTTTATTTTTGCAAGCCTAATATGGGAATGCCATGACTTTGTCTTTGCCCCAAATTCCAGGGCTAGTACTAGAGTAACAGTGTAGAGCTATGCTTTGCTTCGTTCCTATTAAACCTAGAGAGAACTTTCTCTGAAGTGTCCCCATCTGATGTCTAACCTTCTTCTACCAGCTTTCATGCCATGGTGGCAGGGTTGTGTTGTTGTGAGGACGAATGAATGGGCGTGAAGTTCAAGTACTTCTGATTGACTGTAAGCTCTGAGTAAGCAATGGCTGTGATGGTGGCACCGAGCACAACGACTTAGTGGCCATTTTGTCTCTTTTCCATGGCACGCGGTGGAAGTTGTAGGCAATCTGCCTATACGAGATGAGCATCCCAGGAACGGGTTTCCAGTCTCCACAGGGAGGGTAGACAGATGTGTGAGCCTCAGCGTGAGTGGTAACAACAGAAACCACATGTTGGGATTAGAAGTCACTCAGAATTTTAAGAAAAAGCAGTCGTATCAACCAGTGGACAGAAGGGAAAAAATAAATTATCTGCTGAACATCAAGCAGATGACAAAGTAGAGCATCCATCAAGACAGGGCAGGAAACAATCAGATTTCAAAATGACTTGGGAAATGGAACAAATCATACCAGTAGAGAGAATAAAACTCAATGCTGGCTTATGCAAAAACAGTTCTGAATGCTTCAGTTAAAATAAAGTATCTCTGATAAAACATCTACCAATTTTATATTTTAAAAAAGCTGTGTCTAAATCTCATTCCACTTTTGCTAAGCAGGTCAATGATAGTGAACTATTTGTTTGAACAGCGTTTAACAAAATATTATATTTGACTTTCTTTATAATGTAGATAAAAATTTCCCTAATGCAGCCTTTTCTCCTGTAAATGTAAATTTATATCCAGATAAAATTTATAATTTCCGGGCTTAAGTTTTGTACTGAAACACCTGAAAAATTATTCAGTCACATTTTGGTGAACTTCTTTTGCATGCTTTAGTACACGCTACTATGCCCAGCTAATTTTTAAAATTTATTTTAGAGACGAGGTCTCACCATGTTGTCTGGGCTGGTCTTGAACCCATGAGCTCAGGCAATCCTCTCACCTCAGCCTCCCAAAGTGCTGGGATTACAGGCTTGGGCCACTGCACCTGGCCTATTCTTTTTTTAAAAAAACATCCCAAGCTTCCCTTTTCAGTGGCTGCCACGATAAGGTTTATATTTCTATATTTATGTATAATTTTAAATATTATGACAAGAATAATATGCTAATAAGTTCATAAAGCAATACCTAGTCCCTTTTGCCAAGTCTGCTTATTAATCTCAGCATTTAACTTTTAAGTTATAAGTCTGAAAAATCAGGCATGATAGAGTGCTTTACAAAGCACTAAATGCTTGAGATTGTTGTGCCATAAAATAGCCTCCTAAGTGAGGTGTTGGTCACCAGGCTGCTGCCTTCTGTTGAGCACAATGCAGACTATGATAGGACAGCGCCCACTAGAGATGTGCTGCTTCAAGTTGCTATTATTTCTGTTTTACAGAAAAGTTAGGAAGTGGTAGAGTCAGTCATGATACACCCTTCCATTCAAATAAAGACTCACATTATTAAGACAGCAGCTACAATTGGGTTCTATACTTTTTCAAAATATAAATCTGCAGTTAAATGAGTTAGCTCAACAGTTATCAAACACTCTTGAATTTTCCATTTTTGGCAAACCTAATGTGGAAATGCTTTATCTTGGTCCCAAATTCTGAGGCTAAACTAGCATGGAGTTACGCTTTGCTTTGTCCTAGAAACCTAGAAAGGGCTTTCTCTGAAATGCCCCCATTCGATGGCTAAGCTTTCTCTACCAGCGTCAGGCAAGGCTGGAGCTGACATTTCTGGAAGGTCTATCCCATTTTATCTTAAAAATGAGAAATTGGCTAAGATTCACATATTTAAAGTTTGAAACTTTTGAGAAGAATGTATTTGAAAGGAAATAAGAAATTGGCCTAGGAATTGATGGTTTTTTTTTTTTTAAAACTCTGTAACTATTTTCTCAGTAATATATTAAGGTAAAAACATGTTTTTTCCATAGGAAGCAAATAAATCTTCTGCGAGGCATGCTGATACCTCAATTTAAAAATCTTCTGGGTGCAAATGAGATAATGCATATAAAAGCACCTAGCACAATGCTCGGTATATCTTTTCTTTAAAACAATAAACAGGACTGGATGCAGTGGCCCACACCTATAATCCCAGCACTTTGGGAGGCCAAGTCAGTAGGATTGCTTGAGCCCAGGAGTTTGAGACCAGCTTAAGCAGCATAGTGAGACTCTGTCTCTATAAAAAAAAAAAAAAAATCAAAAAATTAGCTGTGCATGGTGGTGTATGCTTGTAGTTGCAGCTACTCAGGAGGGAGGCTCAGACTGAAGGCCTGAGCCTAGGAGGTTGAGACTGCAGTGAGCCATGATTGTGGCACTGCACTCCAGCCTGGGCAAGAGAGTGAGATCCTAACTCAAACAAACAAACAAACAGAACAAACAAAATTCCTTTTAGGCAACTGAAGCTCAACATAGATGGGTTTGGGAGAAGTCCCATGATTTTCAATAGTATTGGTTGAAGCTGAGTTCAGGGAGGCCTTAGGTAAACCAGAAGGCACATGAGTCAGCTCATGGGATTGGTCTGCAGAGAGGCAGACCTCTGGGTGTTTGTATATTCTGTGACCTTTGGTGGCAAACTGTGCCAAATGACAGTGGGGACATCCCTGCTTGGAATGAAAGGTTGGAGAATGTGTCTGCATCAAAGACACAAGAGAAAATAAGAAAACCCAAGTGCAGAAGGGGATCTGTGTGGAAAATCTCCATATTTCTATTTCTGCAATAAAATTTCTTTTGGTGAGAGCATGGTGCTGTAATGTACTCTCTCTTTTTACTTTATTATAAAAATGTGGGGTACAACTCAGGATTAGGTACATAAGTAATCTATGTGCAGGTGAAATTTTGGCCTCCAACTGGCCCTCACTTCCCCTGGTTTAGGACCAGGTATCCTTTATGTTGTTATGTGCCCCCTCCCTCCCCTGGTAGTATCCCGTGACTGTCGATCCCTCCCTTGTGCTACTGTGATTAATGTTCAGGTCCCACTTATGAGTGAGAACACGTGGTATTCAGTTTTGTTGCTGCGATAGATCACCAAGTATGATGGTTTCCAACTCCATCCAATTTGCTATGAAGTCCATGATTATGTCCTTCCTTATGGTTGTGTAATACTCCATGTATATGTACCACATTTTCTTTATCCAGTCCACTTTCAATGGGCAGCATGATTGGTTCCATGCTTTTGCTGTTGTGCATAGTGCAGCCATAAAAATGCATGTGCAGGTGTCTTTTTTGGAGAACAATTTGTGTTTCTCTGGGTGTATTCCCAGAAGGGGGATTGCTGGATTGTAAGGAAAGTCGACTTTTAGTTCCTTTAGAAATCACCACACTGTTTTCCATAGAGGTTCGACTGGAATGCATTCTCTTTGTAGAGATATTCATTGTGGCTTCTCATATACCTGTTACATATTCATATAGATGTGTTTTTCTACATATGTGTATCCACACACTGTATCCACATGCCACATATGCACACAGGCCCCCATGCACATAATTAAAGCTCTGCCACGTGCTTTACCTCTATTTCAGAGGGAGGGGCTCCTGCTTCTCATTGTTTCTTTCTTTTCTTCTAGAGCTCTGTGCGAGCACTCCAAAGAACGCTGTGAGTCTGTCCTGGGGGTCGTGGGCCTGGAGTGGCCTGAAGACACAGACTGCAACCAATTTCCAGAGGGGAATTCAGACAATCAAACCTGCCTGATGCCTGATAAATATGTGGAAGGTCAGTTTCCAGATGGATCGCAGTGGGATCTTTCACATGGCTGAATACATCCACTACTTCTTGAAGTCTTCCTGCTCAAGGTTTTTTGTTTGTTTTCTATGTAGTTGCCAGTCAGCCTGTGAGTGAATCTGTGAACCTGATTACAGTAAAGAATTGGGCATATCTACATTAGACATTGTCATCATTCTATTTTTACTTTAAATATAAGTCACCAGGGAGGTTTATTATTTATTTTGCTTTAGTCCAGACTCAGATTTGTGATCTCTGCCACTTGAGGTAAGTATATACAGTGACTGACTAGTCCAATGATGTATGCTGCTGGCTCTGATCAACCAAAACCCTACCCTGAGAAGACACTGGGGCAGCAGTGTCTTCCCAATTGCTGGGTTTCAGCTTTTCTCCAAGATGTCATTCTCTCCCAGCACCCATGTACCATCATTTTAAAAATAAACCATTTTTAAAATGTGAACTCATAATAGATGAGTTTAGTCAACATTCCAGTATTTTAACCATATTCACTCACAGAGCCCCTTATGTGTGAATGCTACATTTACACTTGGGGTTGTGCAGGCAGAAGTGAGCATCAAAGCTTGGTTCCTTCAAGTGTGAAACATTTGCAGACCTTGGCAACATAGGATTGTTCAGCAGAGGAATGGAATTGGAGACCAGCCCACCAGATGGAAAGATGGGGACACAGAAATGATTTTGGCACGTTGAGGGTCAGCATTGACTCCACCAGGCATTCCAAGCTCTGGCAACTGTGAGGTTGTCCAATTGGAAAGAGGATTAATCACTGGAAAGCATAGACACTAAACCACTGACCTGGAGAGGTGAGTGGGGTCAAGGATGAAGGAGAAAGATGTTGATTGGCAGACAGAACACCAAGTAACTGACTGCTTCCTTTTGCTGAGAACCATTCTTTTCTTCAGCAAATGCTCCCTGACAGCATCCCCCTTGTAGATGATAAATTAGCTGATATATATCTCTCTGTTGACAGCAATGTTGTTTTTTACAGAATGCTCACCTAGTCACTTCAAGTGCCGCTCGGGACGGTGTGTGCTGGCTTCCAGAAGGTGTGATGGTCAGGCTGACTGTGATGATGACAGTGATGAGGAAAACTGTGGTATGTATGTGCAGTGGCACTTTCTTGAATGTACAGTAGTAACTGGATAGGGTAAAAAAAAATGTGTTAAAAATGTAAACTGTTCACTGATGGCCATAGTAGTGACTCGGATGGAATACTAATGCCTTCACTTCTTAAATTACCAGTGAGGCATGCACTGACAAGTGTTTTTGTCAACTCTTGATTCTACATCTACATAACCTTGATATAGAAATGGAAAATGCATTCCGAGACTCCCAGTGGACACTTGAAACCACAGATACTGAACTCATGTATACAGTACTAGGTTTTTTTCTATACATATGTATGTACTTAGATAAAGTTTAATTTATAATTTAGTCCCAGTAAGAGATTAACAACAATAGCCTATAATAAAGTCATGCAATTATAACAGTATACTGTAATACAAGTTATGTGAATGTGGTCTCTCAAAGTATCTTTTTTTTTTTTTTTTTTTGAGTAAGAGTCTCACTCTGTCACCCAGGCTGGTGTGCAGTGGCACGATCGTGGCTCACCGCAGCCTCAACTTCTTGGGCTCAGACTATCCTGCTGCCTCAATCTCCTGAGTAGCTGGGACTACAGGTGTGTGCCACCATGCTTAGCTAATTTTTTATTTTTGTAGAGACAAGTTTTCGCTATGTTGCCCAGGCTGATCTCAAACTCCTGGGCTCAAACGATCCTCTCACCTTGGCCTCTCAAAGTGCTGGGATTACATGTGAAAGTCACCATGTTTGGTTTCAAAGTATCTTCTGTACTGTACTCAGCTATTTTCGGACTGTGCTTGACCAACCACAGGTGATTGAAACCATGAAAAGTGAAACCACAGAAAAGGGGAGGCTACTCCATGTACAGACACTTAGTAAAAGGGGAAGCACTTCACACATGCAAGGAATTGATTTTATTATTAAATTAGAAAGCCACTGTTATCTTTTAAGATCAGCATAAAAATGTCTTTACATATAATTCCCATATTGCTAACTTGACATCTAAAAACAAAAAGAGTTCAGACTCCAACATTCACATTTAACTTATTTTCACACTCTCATATTTTTTTCTCTGTTGACAAAGGTTAAAACTCTTCCTAACATTTCTGCCATTGATCTCCAGAATCACCAATGGATGGGCCAGAAACACCATGGTGATTTAAGTGGAGCTAATTCTCATTTTGTGTCCCTGCAAGCCTTTGTACTCATAACCTCAGTGAGGCAGGGAATAGAAGTCTTTAATAAACAATGTTCTGGAGGAAAGAAAAGTGATTGAGGGTCCATTCATAGAATGGTTTGGTTATGACTATTTAACTTTTCCTGCTTAAAAAGAATTGACACTTCTTTCATTGAAAGTGCACAAGGCAATATGTCTTTTGAAATCAGTTTATTCTTCTGGCCTTTGAGGTATGAAATATTGTCTTGCCCCTCCAAATGAATTATCTGTGGTAGACATTGCCCTTCTGATCTAGACAAAATGTCACAAGCAATCAACTGAAATCCTATCAGCTCCTATAAATATGGGAAAGTTCCTCTTCTGGAAAATTGCAGCTGTCAGAATGATGGCGCAATTTCTGGGGGTAATTTTGTTATGGTGGAACATTAAGTGTTTTGAGAAGCTACTGTTGTTGGTTTGTTTATAATTTTTGTGTAAAGAAATAAATCAAAACTCATTGAATATCCATTATATAAGTGATTTATTGAGAGTATTTTAGACTTGCTCACTTAACTATGACTTTGATGGGTTCTGGTATTCTGAAGTATAACTTTAAATTAATTATCTTAGATGGTTCAAAGAGGTTGCATGATATTCTGTTGGCTAGACTAAATATTTGAAAAATACAAAAGCTTTGTTAAAACAAAACAAAAGCCAGCCTTACCAAGAGTAAAAATCAGCCTTACCAAAAATGTAATTTGCAAAAAAGAAATTCAAAGGACTATAGTATGGTATAGGTATAGTATGGTATAGACCCTAAAATTCATGTTTCTATTTAAGTAATTCGATTTTATCATTACTTTAATTACACAATGAGGGGCATACCAAAATGATAGACATACTGTCTAATCTCAATCAAACACTCAAAATATTGACTATACAGTTAAGAGCTCTAGTTAAGGAAAGTTAAAAGTGGGAAATACATTTGGCATTCTTTCTTTTTTTGCAGTTGGAGTCTCATCTTGTCGCCCGGGCAAGAGTGTAGTGGTACACTCATGGCTACCCCAGCGTCGACCCACTGGGTGCTCCGGTGAGCCTTCCCCTCAGCCTTCCAAGTAGTTGGAACTACAGGTGTGTGCTACCATGCCAGGCTAATTTTTTATTTCATTGTAGAGACGAGGTCTTGCCAAGTTGCCCAGCTGTTCTTGAACCCGCCGGCTCAGGCAATCCACTCGCCTTGGCCTCCCAAAGTGCTGGGATTACAGTGGCATTCTATTAATTGTACCACCAGTATTAATTTATGAGAAAACTCTCATTACGTTGGTGATAGAAAGTTTTACATATGTTCCCCTTTGGGACGTAAGCGCACATTTGAATGGGCTTGTCCAGTGCTCTGGGAAGACACACCACTTCAAATAAGGAAAACAGGGTGGCTCTTGCCTGTAATTCCAGCACTTTGGGAGGCTGAGGCAAGAAGATTGCCTGAGCCCAGGGATTCGAGAACAGCCTGGGCAACTTGGCGAGACCTTGTCTGTACAATAAATCAAAAAGTTAGCTGAGTGTGGCGGCTTATGCCTGTATTTCCAGCTACTGGAAGACTGAGGTGGAAGGATCGCCCGAGCCCAGCAGGTTGAGGTATCTGGGCAACAGAGTGATACTCCTACTGAAAAACAAAATAAAGCAAAACAAAGCAAAACAAAATTACAAAGAAGGGAGTCAGGTTGCTGAAGGCTCAACAGAGGACCCATAGGAAGCCTCCTATCTCCTGTGTCACCTACTTAGTGGTGTCTCTGCTTTCACGTGTGCATAGGATACTATCTGGTAATGCAAAGACCAGCTCCAATGAAGCCGAGTTTCCCTCAAGTTTCCTGTCTTTCTGATTTATTCTATCCATTCTGTGGTATTGAACACATTTAAGTGTTTGGGTTTTACTGAATAATGTGACAATGAACTATTCACTGTCTTGAATCTGCCACTTCCTCAGAACTTCTTACAAGGCTATTGGGTTTCCCTTCAGAACAATTGCTCGTTTAATTCAGTTACAATATCAATACTGTGTTAGAAATTGTCTTTACTTCCTGTTTCTTTTTCACTTTTGTAACAGGAAAACATGGTAGCCAGAGCACTTAGTTTACAAATACACTCTAAAAATACACACATTAGAATTTAGCAACAAGTAAAATTGTTCTTAAATGTCTCCCACTCTCATGGTAAACTTTTGTTGTGAAAGTTGCTTTGACTGTGTGATTGCTAACGTAAACGAGAGTTGACAATGCTGTTGGTAATAGAAGCATTCTCAACAAGTGTTAGGATGAATTATGAAAAGCTGAACAAATCAAATTCTAGATTTGATTTATGGGAGGGGAGCCTCAGAGACAGGGTAGTGATTACTAGGGTCTGCACTGTGTTAGCACAGAAGTACTCCACCAACCTAGTAGGTACTCCACCATCCTAGAAAGTACTCCATTGTCCTAGGAAGTACTCCTCCATCCTAGAAAGTACTCCCTCACCCTAAGAACTGCTCCACCATCCTAGGAAGAACTCCCCTATCCTAAGAAATATTCCATCATCCTAAGAGGTAACCCATTATCCTAGAAAGTACTTTCCCACCTTAAGAAGTACTCTACCATCTAGGAAATACTTCCCCATCCTAAGAAATTCTCCACCATCCTTGGTAGGACTCTATCATTTCAGAAAGTACTCCACCATACTAGGAAGTATACTGCCATCCTAGGAAGTACTTCTTCATCCTAAGAAATACTCCACCTTCCTAGGAAGTATTCCACCATCCTAGGAAGTAGTCCTCCATTCTAGGAAGTACTCTGCCATTCTAGAAGATACTCCCCCACCCTAAGAAGCACCCCACCATCCTAGGAAGTACTTCCCCATTCTAAGAAATTCTCCACCATTCTTGGCAGTACTTCATCATTCCAGAAAGTACTCCATCATCCTAGGAAATATTCCACCATTCTAGGAAGTACCCCACCATCCTAGGAAGTACTCCACTGTCCTAGGGAGTACTCCATCATCTTAGGAAGTAAATTCCCTATCCTAGGAAGTATTCCCTTGTCCTAGAAAATACTCCCCAATCCTAGGAAGTATTCCTCCATTCAAAGAAGTACTCCACCATCCTAGGAAGTACTCCCCATCCCAGGAAGTACTCCCTCACTCTAAGAAGTACTCCACCATTCTCAGAAGTACTCCTCATCTAGAAAGTTCTTCCCCATCCTAAGAAGCACTCCACTACCCTCAGAAGTACTCCATCACCCTCAGAAGTATGCCTTATTCTAAGAAGTACTCCCTCACCCTAAGAAGTACTCCTCCACCATACTAGGAAATACTCCACTATCCTAGAAAGTACCCCACCATCCTAGGAAATACTCTTTCATCTTAGGAAGTAACTTCTCTATTCTAGGAAGTACCCCTATGTCCTAGGAAGTACTCCCCCATCCTAGGAAATACTCCTCCATCCTAGAAAGTACTCCTCCATTCTAGGAAGTACCCTATGTCTTAGGAAGTACTCCACCATCCTAACATGAACTCCACTATTCTAGGAAGTACTCCTCCATTCTAGGAAGCACTCCCCTATCCTAAGAAGTTCTCCACTATCCTAGGAAGTATTCCCCCATCCTAAGAAGTACTCCACTGTCCTCAGAAGTACTCCTTCTCCTAGGAAGTACTCAACCATTCTAGAAAGTTCTCCCTCCTCAAGAAGTACTCTACCATCCTAAGAAGTACCTCACCATTCTAAAAAGTACTCCCCAACCCTAAGAAATGCTCCACTATCCTAGGAAATATACCATCTTAGGAAGTACTCCACTAACCTAGGACTTGATGCTATATTGGTAATTGAATATACACTATATAGGTGGAGCTGCCTATAAAACTAGCTACTTGACAGATGGATGTTTTTCAACACAATATTTTCCAAGCATGGATATCCATGCAGCAGGGAGCAAGGCAAAGGTCTGGGCAGGGAAAGAACAAGAATGACATAAAGGAAAGGAGTGCTGGGAAGCATAAGAGGGAGTGTCTATTTGTGAGCGTTGCTGTCACACTGTGTACTTTCATGTGTGGGGTCGAAGTTAGCTCTGGCTAGACTTGACATCCACAATATTGGTCAGCTCCAAGGGCAGGTGGTTCTGTGGCTGTGATACAAGCAACAAGTCTCCAGGGGAAGTTGAATGAAAATACGACTAGAACAGGCGCTTTATATCTATTGTAAAAATAAAATCCTTTTTTTCATGAACAACACAGCATTGTAATAAGTAACTGATCCCTATTCTGAGTAAAAGGGTATATACATCATGTGGAGAGACTGACAGCAATACAAATGCCCAGTGTCAGTAAGTGCTTTTCTGTTTATCTTCAGATGATTAAAAATCACTTCATTCTCTATCTTTGGTCTCCTCTTGAGCTCAAATAAAGTCAGCCCTTTAAATATCACCTGAGCCGTTCCTCAGAGTCAAAATCCCCTTACGATGTATTCAAGGATTTGACTCTAATATTCATTATGGGTTTACAGCTTGATTCAAAAAGTCTTCCAAAAGGTTTTTCTCTGTCCTTTCAGACTTTTGTATAGCCATTTGTAGAATTGATCTCACAAAGGGCTCACCTGGCTTTCTTAGACTCCCAGTAACCAGCCTCTATTTTCCTTTCTTTTCTTGGGGAAGAGACCACTCTGCTCTGCAGCCAGTAGAAGACTGAGAGCTGTTATGTCCTTACCTGTGCAGACCGTGAATGTGCTGATGGGATGAATCTCCAGGACTATTCTCTGATCACTCAGGAGAGTTTGATTTTCCACGCTAAGGGAGGAATGTTCTCCTTTCTTCTTGTGCTTGGGAAACTGTCATCCTCTCTCATGTAGTATCCTGGTTGGGAAGCCTGGGATGGGTTTACATAGACTTAGATTTATATGTTGACTCAGCCCTTGGAGCTGTGTGCCTTTTGTCCAGTCTCTTCACTTCTCTGGGCCTCACCTATAAAACACAGAGAATATCCTGTTACCTCCCACATCTTGGAATGCTCATGACACCCTATTCAGTCCTTGGAAGATGATAACCAGGAACTCACCTGCTGTGGTGGTGGGAAGCCTGAGGCGGGCCCCTTCAGAAGTCACCCCAGGCATCTCCCTCAAGGGAAGGAGTCCTGTCTGGCTGGGTCTTGTTTCTGACAACTATTTATGGTAGAGGAGAGCGGGTTGGCATGTCCTGTCCTGATCATGGGCAAAGTCCCTGCTCACATAGAAAACCAGGTGACAGGGTGGTGTCCCGTTCTGGAGATGGTGTTTGTTTGGAATAGACGTTCTCTGCCTCCAGGGTCAGAGGCATTCAGCTCAAAACCTTTTCTGCTCCCTATCCTGCTTCTTTCACAGAGGACTAGACCCCCATGTGTGGAAGAGCGTGCCTCAAGGATGGCACTCTAAAAGCAGGCGGTGGCTCAGGGGTTGGGTAGGGTGCTGGGACTTTCTAGCAGGAGATGGTGGCTTTAGGGTCTGTGCTGGCATTGCTGCCCCTTATGGCAGGCCTAGACCCCAGTGGGAGGCTGTTATTCTGTTCCGGCTACTATGTCAGGTGCTGAGGCAGAACCCCAGTGACTGTGCTTTGAGGGAAGAGGTTCCGTCGCCCAGGGTCATGCAGGGTAGCTGGATCCAGACTGTTCCAGCCTTTGCCAAGAACACCCCAGAGTCACCTTGTCTCCCTCCTCCTTGTAGGCAGCTCCACCCTGAAGAGTGAGATCTTTTTTATCTCATGCAGCTCAGCTCCAGAAGATGAACAACCTCTCAGGTTGATGCATACGCTTATAACATTTTCCACTTTCCCGTGGAATGTTAATGTGGCACTCTGGTTGACTGGTCACAGCTCATCCCATTGGCCAATTCTTGGGTTGACCAATGTGGATCATTGTAGATTAAAGCATTTAAGCTGTTTTCATCAAAGCCCAGTGGTCTCCCTGAACGTGGAGAATCACTCAGGTCAAAGCGGCCCTCTGTGAGACAACAAAACCATCTTCTTGCCATGCTTTCCCTGATGGCATTCTCTGCAGACCTGGAACAAAGGTTCCTAGCCCCCTTCACGGCCTTCATGTCCCTGCTAAACTCAAACAGAAGAATCTGTCGGAGGTGTTTGCTTTTTCCACTTGGCGCTCCCTCCTCTTTAGCCCACAAATAGCACTGACTTTCTTTCAAATCTGCAAAATGCAAGGTGTATTCAAAGCACAACTTTGTCACTCCAAATGGCAAATGACAACAATAAATAAACTCCCAACACCAGTGTCTCCATGCTAAAGATGTATGCAACCACTTCATACCTTCTCACTGCATAACAAAAAAGTCTTTACACAACGAAAAGCATTTGCTTGAAAGCCATTTGCTGACTTGACTTACGAGGGTAACTTATTTTGGTAAATAAACAAGGCATCTGGGTTAAATGGGTCTGGCTCTGGGAGAGAAGCCTGCCTCACAGAGCTTTTGTTAAAATGAGATCTAGTATGTGAAATATTTAGTGTGATCATTCATCCTGATTTGCCTGGGGTCAGTGGGGTTTCTTGGGACAAGGAACACTTAATGTCCAAACTATGGTTAGATCCCAGGCTAACTGGGATGAGTTGGTCACTTTTTGGGCACACTCAATCAGAGGACGATGCTCTTATCTCCGTGCTGGAGAGGTTGGAGGTTGTTATTTTGATGTCAATGATGATTTGGTTTCATGACCTACGGCTGCTGTCAATATTCTATCCCACTCATACCCTGCTTCATGGAGTCACACCTTTTTCCTTCTAGAACATACATTTGAAACATAATGATACAAGGCTGGGCACGGTGGCTCACACCTATAATCCCAGCACTTTGGGAGTCAGAGGCAAGAGAATTGCCTAAGCCCAGGGGTTAAAGACCAGCTTGGGCAACTTGGTGAGACTTTGTCTCTACAATAAATCAAAAAATTAGTCAGGCATGGTGGCATGTGTCTGAGGTTCCAGCTACTTGATCTTCCACCTCAGACTCCTGAGTAGCTAGGACTACAGGACTGCACCACAAGGTCCGTCTAATTTTCTGACTTTTTGTATAGACAAGGTCTTGCTATGTTGCCCAGCCTGGTCTCTGACTCCTGGGCTCAAGCAATCCTCCTGCCACAGCCTCTCAAAGTGCTGAGAATACAGGTGTGAGCCACCATGCCTGGCTTAGCCCTCTTTCTTGGATCCGTTTGCCCTCTCATGGAAGGAGCAGACCATCTTGCCAGAGCTGGATTACAGAGACCCAATTTTAAGCTCCATCTCTAATCTCAAGACTCTCATTGTCAGAACATTCTAGATGCTGTCTGTATCCTCCATTTGCTGAAAACTCCAGATAATATTCCCTGTGAGTTCCTGTAATAGATGTCCCTGGGCCTATGATCAGCTCAGATGAAAAGCCAGTGAAACACTCATTATTTCCTGTATTTTTGGATGATGAAATACATCAAAGCTAATTTTAGCTCCAATAAAAATGTCTTTTCTGGTGACTTATTTTGATAGTTGTTTTTAGTGAGAATTTTGAAAAAAGCAGATATTTGTTCTCATAGTGGATTCCAAGAAACCTGAATCAATCAACTACAAAATGTCTTTGAATTATTTGTACTAGGTCAGATAAAAAATAGCATTTTTTTCAATACAGGTAAATAAAAAAAGTAAAGTAACATTTTAAAAAAGAAACATCTTATTTGGTCACTGCTTTGCATTTTACTCACCTTAAAATAGATTATCTTTTCCTGGGAGACAGAGACATCTTGTTCCTTCCATGAAGTGAAGTTTCACTTAAAAGTCACATGTGTGGAGGCCCTGCCACAGTGCTATGAGGTTGGAGGCCACAAGCTTTCTTCCTCTGTGCACCTCACAGCCTAGTCAGGGACAAGGGTCTGACTGCAGTGACAACTGGATTGTGGCAAGCTTTCGCAGACGTACATCACACATGCACTACACTTGACCCCAATGACATTTACTAAGTATATCACAGGTGCTTGCTATTCCACGGGCAAACTACCAAATGAGTGATGGACTTCCTGCTCTGATGCTGTACAAATTATATTTCTTTCTGGGATCAATGGACAAAGTTTCCAGCTTCAGATCTCTGAGTAGCATGAAGGTAACGGCTTTTGCACCTAGCTCTTATGCTGGTTTTGTAGGTATTTGGAACAGGAAGAGAAGAGCCTCTCTTGCCAGACATACAGATGGCCTCTTAGATTGCTGAGTGAAATTGCACTTTATGATATGATAATACACATTTAGATCACTAGGTATTGGCATATTTGCTTAAAAGCACAACTCATCATTTTACAGATATATCTTATGTGTTGGCAAATTGACTCAGCACAGCAATAGGAACAGCTAAAGATGAATGAGAATGAATGCTCGCTCTTCCATTTTTCCTCTCATTTCCCATATGTCATTTTTCATCTGTTAGGCGAGCTGTACTATTTATATCATAATATGGAGATGATTGGGTGTTTCTACTTTCAAAATTGCGTCGTCTATGGTGTATAGGAGTCAGAGCTCATTAAGAAAAAAGAAGTCAGCAGTTATACTGCAGTTTTCCCACATTGCTTGATCAAACTCATTGTTATTTTTAACTCCATGGCTATTGCAAATCACCTTTTCTTCCGTCTCCAGGTTGTAAGGAGAGAGACCTTTGGGAATGTCCCTCCAACAAGCAATGTTTGAAGCACACAGTGATCTGTGATGGCTTCCCTGACTGCCCTGATGGCATGGATGAAAAAAACTGCTGTAAGTGCTTATGTGAACTTAAAATGTTGCCAGCACAACATTTTAATTTAATTTTATTATTTTTTGAGTCAGGGTCTCACTCACTCATCTAGGCTGGAGTGCAGTGGCAGGCTCATGGCTCACTGCAGCCTCGACCTCCTGGGCACAGATGATCCTCACTCCTCAGCCATTTGACTAGCTGGGACTATAGGTGCATGCCACCATGCCCTGCTTTTCTTTCTTTCTTTTTTTTTTTGTAGAGATGAGGTCTCACTATGTTGCCCAGGCTGGTCTTGAACTCCTGGGCTGAAGCAATCTTCACATCTTGGCCTCCCAAAGTGCTAGGATTACATGTGTGAGCCACTGTGCCCAGCCAACATTTTTATTTTAAATACCAATTACCTCTCATTTGGAATATAAGCTAAAAATGTATAAATATGTATCAAAAAATTTGTGTGTTCAAACTTTCAATCAAAACTCTACTTGTAAAGATATATGCTAAGAAGACAATTAAATGTGTGTAAAATATATATACTATGATGTTATTCTAGTATTATTTATGACAGGGGATATTAAAACATCCCAAATATTCTAAATAGGAAACATAAACTACAACCATAAAGTAAAATAATATGCAGATATTAGAACCAAATTATAGAAGCATAATTTATTCTGGGTTCTTTATATATCATTAGTCAAATAAAACATAATATGGGGTATTATGTGTACTATCCCAAGTTTTGAAAGGATATATGCCCCATATAGAAAAAAATAAGAAATTCACAACTCAAAGTTTACAATTTTAATCTATGGGTGGCAGAGTTATACAATTTTTGTGCTTTTCTATCTTTTCTACGTGTTTTGAATGAATGGTCATTACTTTTAGAACCAGAAAAACAAAAGAAGGTCCCTTAAGATGTTTTACCTGCAAGTAACAGAATGCCCAAATCAAAGTGACAAACAAGACATTTATCTTTTCTTATCATATGTGTCACATATGTTTTGCATTATCATATGAAGAGTCAATAGTGAGGTGGAATCTTGAAGCTGCATGTGGGGTTTAGCATCGTTCTTGCTTATTTCAGCTCAGCTTGACCTCATGGTCAAAAGATGGCATTGCCAGGAGCGCCATGGTGCCATGCTTCCTTGGTCATATGCAGGGGGGAGAAGAGAAGAAGAGAGACCCTTGCCCTCATCCTTAAGACATTGATTAAGTATTCGCTCAGGTCAGTCAGGCAAAGTCACAGCTAACCATCAGGAGCCTTTGCGTAAATTAGAAAAGACACTTCCTACAAACAGCTGAATTGCAAAAAGAAGCCCCATGCAGGCAGAACAGTTTAGAAAGAGGTGCTGTTCCCTCTAAGGTGCTCCTGTCCCAGGCTGGGGCATGTGGCATCACAGGCAGAGTTTGGGCATGAGCTGTCTTGCAAAGCACAACCCACAAACTCACAGGCCAAAGCCCTGATCTCGAATCACAGGCTGACTCCCAAATCACTAATTGTACTCAGGAAAAGAACGACTGCCATTAGAAAAGCAACATGCCCAGCTTAAACAGACATGGTGCTTCCCTTAGTGCTGTGGACTGGCAGGTGTATGGGCCTGAACAAAATCAGATTCTCCTTACAAAGGAGCAAGGAAGAGAGTGGATGCTAAGTTGGCCATCCAGGACGTTTACTATAATTTTTTAAAAACCCAAGAGAGAATAATGTATGACTTGGAGATCATTTAATAACAGGGTTTTAAAAAGAATCACGATCCATCAGTGTGGACATAGCTTGTTTCCTTTGGGTTAAAACACAGACTGTAACCCTGTTCTCTAATGCTTGGTATTTCTGCTGCTGTGGAACTGCTTTTTCCATCTGCTTGTTAGAGACTTTGCCATGTGGAGGTGGTCATTCTATTGCGATGCTCTCCATGCAGGTTGACACCTGATAAATGAAATATGACAGATTCAGCTATTCTGCCTCAATACCTGGTGGAAGGTCTCAGTGCCCACCTATTTTCTTCTTCCCACACCCCTGCTGGCAAATGAGAACGTGCATGTTCGTGATAATCATATTTATTTCCAAAATGTTTCCCTTCTCGCTTCTTGTTCCCCATGCCAGCGTTTTGCCATGACGATGAGCTGGAGTGTGTGAACCACATGTGCATGTCTCGCAGCCTGTGGTGTGATGGGGAAGCCAACTGCTCCGATGGTTCGGATGAGTGGGACTGCGGTGAGCTGCCCATTCCCGCCATCTGTCCTGCGCTGATGCCTGCCAGCCATGGATGCTGAATGAATCCTCAGGCCCTTCACGGATTTCATGAACCAAGTCTATCTATTTGGTTTCACGGTTATAAAAGCTGATGGTGGAGATTCATGTGTGGTGTTTTCGACTCCCAAAAAATTTCTTTCCTCCCCGCAAAGTTACTTCCCTGTTTGAAATGTTTATATGATATGCAAAAGACATTTGGGTACAAGTTTGTGTAGTCATATAATTGATGGACTAGGATTGAAAACATTTTATCATCACCCGACCTCAGTCATCGTCAATATTCTACTATTCTTTCATAGTCTACGCCTCCTGGAATGGCATGTGAGAGTGGCCCTCTGTCTTTCCTGTACTCTTTCTCCAGATCCAAAGGGGACTTCTACATGGATGGGACCCAAGGGCTTCTACCACCAGCACCTCCAGGGCTGCAGTTGGCCATCCTGGCTTTCATTAATTCCCTCTTCCCACATTCACCACTCCATTTGTTCATGTGTCTCTGATTTCAGTCCTGTGTATCACTGGCCAGCAAAAGCCTGATTCTCATGTGTGTCGTGAGCAATTGCACAGCATTTCTGAGACAGTCTGAGGCTGATTAAGTATGACTAGGAACGAACACATTTTCTACATTAATCCTGAATTAGCATTGCTCTCACACACTTGCATTCTCACATGCTCTCTCGAAAGGAAATGACATGGATGGAGTTACAGCTCTCTCCTTGCAGTCACGCGAATCCCTGGGTAAACTCACAGGAAGGCCTGCCTCTGGCTGTCTTCTAAGTCAGAGAGAAAAGCAAAGAACTGTCTCTTGCTCTAATGTCTAAATTTCCTTGTGGGGAGAGAACACTTCTAATTCATTTTTTTAACTCCGCCATCACAATGAGAGCAGTGACTTGCACAGAGTGGGTACTCGTCAAATGGTTCTTAATTAAATCAGCACAGATGAATGTATGCCAAAGAAGCAAAAGCATGAAGAGTAATCATTTGTTTTCATGAGAAAGGAATGTTTTTAATTAGGGTCTCCCCGTCTTGTCTTTCCCCAGTGACCCTTTCTGGAAACGTGAACTCCTCTTCCTTCCTGACCGTTCACAGAGCTGCCACAGAGCACCACGTGTGTGCAGATGGTTGGCAGGAGACACTGAGTCAGCTGGCCTGCAGGCAGATGGGTTTAGGGTAAGGTCAGTAGTTTGTAGCACCGATGACTTTCTCAGAGGGCTTCATGGAGCTTGGCGGTAATATCTTCCTCGTGAATACATGGAAATTCAGGGCTCTCAAAGAGCCCTCCAAGGCCTGGAAAATGAACTGGGTGAGGGACCGCCTTTAATTACAGGCACCTGTTCTGAGGAGGAGGCTCTGGAAACCCACTTAGGTGAAGCCTCTAAAAGCAATTGTATTTTAAGTAATGTGGAGATGCAATACTTTCATCATTTATAAAAGCATTCAGAGGAACCTGGATGGAAAACTCTTGCACTTTATTTATTGAAAATCTCTTTGTAAACAACATTAAAAAAATAGGTTGAGACATAGAAGTTGAAGTTGCTGGTATTTGTTTACTACAAGTAAGACAGGAATTGTAAATCCAGAATGAGTTCACTATTTTTGCTTCTTAGTAGAACAGAAAGATTTACTCTAGCTTTGATACAAACATACTGAAATAGATACTTTGAAAGTTTAACACTTACTGTGTTGTGTGGAAGTCTTTTTCAGTTCCACTGGGGTCAGAAGCAGTAATATGCAAGGTCTTATAACGTGTGTGGGGGGGGAGGGGGTTGGGGGAAATGTAGAAATTAGAGGAGTTCTACATTTCTAGAATAAAAAATTGAGCAAATGCTATTTCCCAGGATCTATTGAGCAAACCTGAAACAAGTTTACACTCATGAATCACCAGCACAGTTTTGTCATCCCACTTTGAAATTACTCAGCTCCTGGCATCTTGAGCTGATGGCTCTCATGTAGAGACCTACATCTTTAGAAAGTTGAGTAATCAATGCTAATCTGTAATACAATCACTCTCAACATCGCCAGACTGGAAAAAATGTATTTGCCAAGATCTGTTTAGTGATACCTCGTTTTCACAACTTTCTAATTGATTCTAAATAAAATGGGGCATGATTGTGATCAAGACGAGTAAAAATCCTTTGGAATGTGCTTATTTTTATCTTTCTTCTCACCAAGACCCAAGGTTATTTCTTCATATGAAAATTTGCTTACATAATGATAAACAAACTGCTGAGCATTCTAAGAGTAAGCTGGGACAACAAAGATTTTACAGCCAGAGAGTTCTTTGGTCAAGCCACCTGGAGTGTAACTGTTATACAGTAAATAGAAGGGCATCTGCGTTCACATATGCTTCTTGATATTTTTTCTAATTTTTTGCCTACTGATTTTTTTTTTTTTTTGAGTGGAGGTCTTGACTACAGGACAGGCACCCCCATATCTGGTTGAATTATTTTATTATTATTACTATTATTATTATTTGTAGAGATGAAGTATTGCTATGCTGCTCAAGCTGGTCTCAAACTCCTGGGCTCAAGCAATTCTCTCATCTCGGCTTCCTAAAGTACTGAGATTACAGGTGTGAGCCACTGTGTCCAACCTTGAAATTTTTATTGTGAACAAAATTCACCATCTTAATCATTTCAAAGTGTGTCATTCAATGGCATTTAGTTTATTCACGATGTTGTGCAACCATCACCACTATCCAGTCCCAGAACATTTTCATTACCCTAAAAGGAAACTATGTACTTGTTAGGCAGTCACTTTCCATTTCACCTACCCCCACGACTGAGGCAACCACTAATCTGCTTTCTATTTCTGTGAATTTGCCTATTCCAGATATTGCAATATATATGGAAATGTACAACATATGCCTTTTTTGGTATGGTTTCTTTCGCTTAGCATAATGTGTTCAATTATCTGTGTTGTAGTATGTGTCAGTTCTTCATTTCCATTTATGACTGAATTATATGCCATCGAATGGATGTGGCACATTTTATTTATCTACTCATACATTTGGGTTCTTTCCACCTTTGGTTATTGTGTACATATTGGATTAAAAAGAGTTTTGACTCCATTTTCTCAGCATAGTGGGAAAACAAAGCTTTGCTATTTTAGATATTTAAAATCTAAATAGATATGCAGATGTTTTCATTTTAGATGACTTTATTCAGAAGGGCTAGGCAAATCTGAGCTAGAGGTGTAATTGGAAAACCATAACCATTATTTGAGTTAATAGGTGAGTGTGTAATCAGTGATACGTCTTCCCAGGAAATGAGGACTAGCATTTTTTGGACTTTTTGGTTGCCTTCAAGTTTACTCTTCTGTTTATTTGAGTGGCTTATATGTTGACAGAAGTTTGAGAGCCAGGCTGGAGCAGGAATGATGATTTTGGACAAGATGAGGCCAACCTCCTGCTATGGAATTGGGCTGCTCAGGAAGCTCTTCTGTTACCACTGTCTGTGGATTTTTGCTGTGCTGCAAATTTGCAATCCTGCCACTGATGCCTCAGATAGACTCTAAGTAGCCCTGCACCTTTGAGTCATTTCCCCAAATCAAAGTCCTTGAGAGGAAAGTCTGTCTGGCCAGGATTGGACTGCACTGCCAGAGGGAGGGGAGGGGGAGTGACTGTTCCCTTTTAGTTTCTGGAGTGGAGTGTCTATGACACTGACCTGCCTTTATCCTTTCACACATATTCTGCATAAAAATCCTGAAATTTAAAATGCACCCCCAACTGGTTCTATTTTAGTATTCCACTTCCCTTTTTGTTTTTTGAGTATCTGCTTATGGACCTTGTACTGGGTTAGGCATTGGGTGGATGCAGAGGTGAATAACATCATTAGAACTTATAAAACAGTGGAGAAGATACATTGGTAAAAAACCAAGTATATGAAGTTATACAAAAAAATCAAAAAAAAATTTTTTTCATCTGAGATTGGTTTGACTCATTGCATAGCACATGACAGTCTTAGTGAAATTGTATGAGAAAAGCATTGACCCCATCTTATCTTGATAGTATAAATTCATTAAATCATTTATTCATTCAGTAAACATTTGCAGGGAACAGCACTGTAGTATCTGTAGAATCTGGCACCAACATGACCTGACTCCAAGTGGGCCATCTGCTTGAGGGGGTACATTCTGGAGCTAGTTCATCAGGATGCATCTCTATACCAAATTACGTGTTTTACAGAGATTCTATTGAAATGCTTCAGGGTAGAGGCAGTCAATATAAAACACCTGCATATAGGGTTTTTACACCCCAATTATGACTTTCATGTCTCACTGTGCAAATGTTAGGCTCTCAACTACTTGTCTGAATAAGATTCAGAGTTCTTTGTTGAATTTGAAAAACCTTTTACCTTCATCTGTTGGTATCTCTGGAGTTCAGCCCAGGTTGGGAGTACAATGGCTATCTGATTAGACAGATGTCTAAATCAAGCCCTTAAATTCTCGTGACGGCATATTAACTTTGCTACCTACATGTTTAATATCAAAAACATATGGCCATTTATTCAATCAATAAATCGAAGTCAGAATTTAGACTGCCCTCTAATTTGGCTGAGACATCTGGTATTTGAGTAAGTTAGTCAAAGGGAACGTGATTCTCATGTCTCTTGGCTTTACAAGCTCCATTACTGTATACAATTAGATCATCTGGAAACAGTGTGTCTGGGCTGTACTATTTTGGCAAACATCCTTTGATGGAGTTAGTTGCGATTTTATTTTATTCCCTTATCTTTTAGAGTTGATCAATAGAAGAAACATCCTTTTGAAGAAGAATGTTTCTGTGTCTGGGCAAAAAAACACAAAGACAGCATTATTCTATTACTCGAGAGTCCCTAATATAAGGATTTAATTGTAACTTCCTCCTAAAGTTTACTCCCAGAAAAACGTGTCCAACTTCAGATTTCAGTAAGAAATATTTACTCCTTGATGATTTCCTAATCAATTGACTTCTGTGAAACTCAAAGACAGTTCTGGTCCTATGTGGTAGTAAATCTCACCCAGGCTGCTGGTCTTGCTCACGGAAAACCATGGAGAGGTTCAAAACCTTGTCGTTAAAACGTTAGACATAAAGATTATAAGTTAGACATAAAGATATAAGTCCTATACCATAAAAGTTACCATTTGAAGATGTACAATTCAGTTGCTTTTAGCATATTTGCAAAGTTGTACAATCATCAGCACTAATTCCAAAATATTTTCATCACTCCAAAAAGAAACCCCTTACCTTTTAGCAGTGATTTCTCCTTTTTCCCTAGCCCAGCCCTGAAAGCCTCTGATTTACTTTCTGCCTCTGTGGACTTGCCTGTTGTACACATTTCACATAAACAGAGTCATAGGATATGTGCCCTTTGTGCCTACCTCCTTTCACTTAGCATAATGATTTAAAGATTTATCTGTGCTGGAGCATATATCGTAGGTCATTCCTGCTTATGACTGAATGATATCCCATTGTATGGCTCTAACAACATTTTGGTGATCTGTTCAACTCATGGGCATCTGAGTTGTCTTCACTTTGAGGATATTAGGAATAATGCTGCTATGAACATTCATGAACAAGTTTTGGTGTGAGCATGTTTTCAGTTGTCTGTAAGACTTGAGTTACTAGGTCACGTGGTAGCGCTGTTTGGTTTTTCAGAGAACTGCCAGACCATTTTGCAAAATGTCTGCACCATTTTACACTCCCACTAGCAAAGGATGAGCCTTTCTATCTCTCCATATCTTCATCAACCCTTGCTACTGTCCATTGCTTGACAATAGGCATGCTAGGGGGTAAGAAATGGAATCAGATCATAATATTAGTTTGCATTTCCCTCATTGCTAATGATGCTCAGCATCTTTTCATGTGCTTATTGGCCATTTGTACATTTTTTCAGGAGAAATGTCTACTCAAGTTTTTTGCTTTTGTAATCATGTTTGACTAATATTTATTTCCATATTACTAAGCCCTGTTATTTTCTTTCAAAATGCTTGTCTGATGGCTTTTCTACCATTTAGTTATTCAGTGCGTATTTACTGAGTACCTACTACATGCTAGGTACCGTTTTAGAGGCTAAGAATAGAGTAGTGAACAGACAGCGAACCCTGCCTCAAAGAGTTTATATTCTATCATCTGCGTTATTAAACCATCATAAATAAGTAAATCATATAGGATTTGGGGAGGTGGTAAG